ACACCACTGAAAAGAGTTCATATAATAGTACCTATAACTTTGTAAAAATTCTCTTAATTAAAACCTTCTATTACATTTTTTGCTCATTCCTGATCAAAGACATACAACAAACAACTGAATAAACATAACTGCTTGAAAACACAAGTTAATATCTTGTAATGGAGAATAGGGAAAAAATTCAGTTAAAATTTCTCCTTATCTAACCAGATTATGCTCTAACTGAACTTTGAATATATTGTACCAACATCACGTGAGAACAGTAAGTTATAATAATATATTGATTTTAAGTCTAAAATCCATAAGATGTTCAGTTAGCTTAACAATGTATAATTTTTATAAAATTTTATAGGAAAGAATGATAAAGATATATATATATATAAATAGTTAAAAATCCAAGATTTCACTTATGTAATGTATTTCTTTTTGAACATGAGCAAAGTATTTAAGTCATAATTCCTGTGCTTCTATTTGTCTTAAGTGAATCAGCAGCTTATTGTATTCTACCAGTGCAGCTATACCAAAATCTATGTCACCCTACATTTTGAACAACGTTCTACCCGTCTACATTTCACCTACCTTTCATGGGCAGTTTTGGCATGGTTGTGTACAGTTGTGCTGGTTTCTGGTGGGGGTTCATCCCATAGCGTAGAGGTAGGTGCGACACACCTTCACTGAACTGCCGCCTAAAGTAGTCTGATATGGCTGCATCATACTCCGCTGTGTGGTTGAAGGCCTAGGAAGCAGGAAGAGAAGAAATGATGGTTGAGATATGGTACACAAACCTTTACATGTTTGATTTCTGCTAATTTTGGTCTCAAGAAAAAAAAAAAAAAAAAAAAACTAGAAGTTCTACAAACATTATATGGGACTTGCAATACTTTATCAAACTTACAAAATAATTCAGGTTATCATCTAAAAAATAAATACCAACACACACACACACACACTATTATTATAAATTACATTACATTATTATAAATTATGACATATAACTTAGAAAAGTCCAACATCCAGTTGTATCTTGGTGCAACCTTTTTATTTTCATCCTCACAAGAAATCATCACTGTTTGATAAATTTTTGATTTTTTATTGATCAGGCCAAAATCAAGCAGTTTGTCTAATACAGAAATGGGTCAGAAAAACCCAGAGCCAGGTATAAATCCAGCAAGATCACCTTCACTGCCAGAGCTTTCCTGGTTTCTATCTTTGTATCTTTATCATAGGACGAGGAGATCTCTTCTCCAACACTGTCGTAATCCTGAGGATCGCAGACAACTGTCACACGCTCATGGTTCTTCGCAGCCGCTCGTAACAAAGTAACGCCACCTGGAGCACAATTATAGATGTCAGCACAAGGTTCCATTACAAATAAATAAATAAATAAATAAATGTGAAATCATCTCCATTTTGTAATTGGAATAATACTACACAAATGAATTTTAAACAGAAGACTAAATTGGTGAATTCACTTGAAATAAAAACTTCATTTAAATATAAAGTATCTTATGTGTGCTGTTATTCTAGGCAAAATGTTACATAAAAAATTATTAAAGTCAATCACTGAGATCATTCAAATAACTGAAGTTATGCCAAAACATTTTGAACTAAACTTACTGAGATAATAACATAATAGACTTTAAGGTGCTGTTGTTTAAAGCTATATGTTTTTGCTTTAAAATGATGAGATATGCTGCCCATTACTAGTTACCTATATCGATATCTTCAATGGCGTCACTCACAGTCACATTCTCAGCGGATACAGTTTTAACAAATGGATACAGATTACAAACAACAACCCTAAAATAATAATAAGAAGAATACAGAGTAAAGATTAATTCTTCTTAATTACATTAAACTTATGTTTACTTAAACTTATGTTTAACTATGTTTACTTAAACTTATGTTTACTTAAACTTATGTTTAACTATTTTTCCAATAGTATTACAATGTGTAAAATGTCAACTATCAGTAAGCAGTTTTTGTGCATCAAATAACACAAAGGCACATATGAATTTCAAAGGCATAAACAATGCTATTTTTTTCAGTAATCTTAAGTTTAGATAGATTCTTAACCTTATTAGGGAAATCCCTTGTTTGCCTATGTCATACAAGTCTCCATCTGTAAGCCGGGCTAGAATACCTGGCAAAAAACAAAATGCTTTTGATCAATGTTTGAACAAAAGATTTCTGGGGTAGCGCTAACACTCGCCAATTTAGCCAAATGCTAAAACTGACTTAAACTGGCTAAACAAAAAGGGCTTGATTTGACTAATTTCAGTCAAATTAAAGCCATTTGGATAACAAATTGTCAAAAATGTGGTGCTTTGGCTAAGGAAAAAAAAATTCTAGCGCTACCCCAGGATTTCTAAATGCCCATTAAAATATTATATATTCAGGGAAAATTTACTAAGTAAATAAATATGTTGTCCAATAGCTGACAGAGATTTAAAAAGAGAGGAACTGACAATAAAAAAAAAAGACACACACAAAACCCATTTTATGAAACATCACAAAAGAATTTAAGCCTAAAACTTGGTCTGAGCTTTTCAATCAAATTTTTGTCTACATTCACCCAAGATAAACTGACCAGAAGTAGTTCAAATGAATACTGCATTTTTTTTATTACAATAAAGACATGGCTAAATTTTTGAATTAACATTAATTTTTTTACGTGTACAAGCACTATTATGGATTTATCATGAACTGCATTGCACTAATTTATCTGCCAATTTTCATGGAATAAAGTTTTTGTTACACCTGCCCATGGCAAGAACACTGTCCATACCTCCATGAACAGCAGGATGAAGTGTCTTTACTCTCCCTTCTAACATCTCTGGCGCTTTGGTCACTTCACTGACCTCTCTGAAAATAAACAATATAAAATTATGGAAATTTTATAAACATTTTGCAAAAGGCAAATGGCCTAAAAAATTATTAGTTCAAAAGATCAATGGTCTGAAAATCAATTGGTTTACAGCAAAGAATTAAAGAGACACTGCCAAAAAAAAAACAAAAAAAACATAGTTGGAGCAAAACCAATGCGGTTCTCCATCAGCAAGGCTTCAGAATCCTGAACCTTTGGACTAGCCATCAATACATGCACTATGGGATGTCAGGGACCACTCTGGATAATTCTGTATGTCTTTCTGTCAATCATAAAAAATCAACAAGAGAACATGGTGGAAATGATGAAATCATGTCAAGTTTTGATTTCTTCAGCCAATTTTATTTTATAATTATTTTAGCAATTTTAATTTGGTTAAAACCAGTAATTACTAACAATCCCACAGCTATAGCATTTAGAAGTGAACAATGGCAAACACAGTACAGTGATAACAAAAAGGACAACAAAACATTCCTTAGTATCTTCAATATCTTAAATAAACTAAACCACTCACTGTATCGGAATGCCCGCATCCCTGATGGCCTTGGCTGTCCCTCCCGACCCTATCAACTTCAACCCAGAGGCATGTAGAACCTTGGCAAAGGGCACCAGGCCCTGCTTGTTAGAAACACTTAACAAAGCTGAAAAATTATAATGTTAATGTCATTAAATATCAAAACTGCGACAAATAAATTGAGAACTCTTAAGGGATGTTTTTTAAGGGGATAACAACTGTTCATTTTTGGAGAAAAAAAAAATGGATCCAAAAGGTTCCAAAAGTCCAAAGGTTCTCAAGAAAGAAAAAAAAAGTGTCAAAAAAGAAAACATATACATGCATGCAGTCAAGTTACACAAATACAGATGCATAAAAAAACATCCGTCTTGCTGGCAGACAAACGATATAGATCTACAGGCATATCATGTAACATGTTTCGCACGTACCATACATTGACTTTTAAAAGGCATCACAAAATCTATCATAAAGTACTGCCATAAAGTTGGAGATTTCTTTCAGCATTACGTCAGAGACTATTCTGATTCTCGTAGCTACCCTGTGTTATTTTGAATTGCTTGTAGGCTCTCCAGAGGGTCGTCCTTAATTCCCATTTGATGATTCTTCTGGCAGTAAAATATTAATTAACAACTTGTTCAAGATGTATTAAGGACTTCCCAATGTTAATTGTCTAACTAAAACTCCTTGCACTCATTCGAACAGCTTTATCTTCTAACTTGCAAAATAAACCAAATAAATAAATAATAATAATAAAATGGAAATAAAAAACTGAATTATTTCTTTATTTGGCAAAGCCAATGGGGCTGGAGTTCTGTTTCAATTTTTCAACTTTTTTCAAGTGATAAATTAGCTGAACTTAAAACTGATGAGCCCCATGACCAGCCAATCAAATTGCCCGCTACGTTCTCTTTCTAAAATTAACACACTAAACAAAACAACATGCCATAGTGGATGTTAACTCAACACTCAGTCATGTAGCTACACGAGGAAATCATATAGGCCATGGCTAAAATATGATAGAATGGAATTCTCTTTGTACTGTGAAGAGTAAACGGGACGATATTTTTTCATCACCTGTCAGTTGCTAACAATGCGATAACACAGTCGCATGTCGAGTCAAATGCACCGAATGACACCTACAAAACCTAGACAAAATCAATAAATTCTAAACACTTTTGAAACGTCACAAACCGCGAAAAACTTACACGGATATATCATTACGGTTTTGTGTTATCTTCTCAAGTTTTTGCATGCGAGATCTATCTTGTACACTTTTCTGAAAGCGTACTTACCGAGTTCACTTGCCGCCATCCTTCACGTGTAGCCGGTGCTTTCAATCGACCTTCACCTGAAATTGATCACTAAAAATAAAGAGGGCAGCACTTCTGTGGTTAATTCCTTTCACGTTTTTCACTTTGTTACTTCTTTCATATTTTTTCAAAACCACTTTATCCGTCTATATTTGTGCATACTTCTCGTGTCGGATATTTCTTCTTTGTAAGAAGCGTGTACTTATTTCTATGTGAAAAAGTCAAGTCAAAAGGCATTCCACGCCAAAAGTGTAAACAAAACCCAACATCCCTTTAAATTGAACTCGCCCACAATCAATAAACAGCAGCAGCTGGTGTTAGAAGCGAGAGGCAGAATACAGAGGTGGGACGATTTTTCTTCTTGTAAAATTTTTGGGTTAAACAAGTGTATTTCGCTTTAATTACTTTGTCGATTTACTGTATGTACGCATTAAGCCCTTGCGGTCTAATATTTTCTCCTTGAGAGGAGAATAAGGTATGTTTCAGAGCGCGAAAATATGCAGAATTCCATGCAGAAACTGGATATAAGCCGGGCGGTTGTTTTCTTGCTACCTCTTGTGCCACTGCCATTACTGGCACTGGCAAGTGCATTTAGCTGCCAACACAATTTACGATTTATTGATTTAGTCGGCTGGTCATCAAATGCGGTCTTACTGTTTAATACCAGAGCTAAATTAGTTGGAGATACATCTGGAATGGACGTCATGGCTGTGATATTGATCATGATATTGGGTGTGAAGATATGATTTGTATTTTGAATTTTATCGATGACTAACTTTAAGAAGGAAATGCTTTAAAACACTGCCATATTAATGTTCCTGAGGTAGTTGCTAACAGTGCAGTAGAAAATCAAAATGTGAATCATGTTATAATATTCACTGGAAATGTGCATTTGCTATGATTTACTAGTACTTGCCTTGTAAATTGTAATTATTTCTCTTGCTTTTCATAGTAATGAGAGCAGACATATTTAGTATAATCAGTGATTTGCAAGGCAATTTATACAAAGGTACAATGTTAACTTATAAGTTCTCACTCCCCCCCCCCTCCCCTGCACGGTGACATTAGAACATAATTAGGCATTGTTTAGATGCATAACACAATGCTTGCATTATTGATTATTGTGCATTTATTTATTTATAATGGAAGCAATCAAATTATGCCACAAATAGCCAAACATGTGTCATTCAATTTATTTTACACATATTTTTGGACATGGAGGTGAGATTTTTTTTGCAGGTGAAGCAATGTAGTTGCATTATTTAGCTTTCTAGAGCTCGTATTTGTGTCTCAGTGATTTTTATATGCACAGTAGATAGCATTGTTGTCCTGTCACGGTTGCTTTTCAGGTTCAGGGTCTGTATAAGCTACTAGTACACTTTGGAAAATTGATGACTTAAATAGACTGGTCATTGCAAAAGAGCTCTAGCTTCACTGAACTCCCCCCCCCCCCCCACCCCTCCATGACCAAATAACTTGTCCGAACTGAAGAAAGCAGACTTAAGAAAACCAGAAAAAAAACTAGCATATATTTAAATATTGTGACCTTTCAAAGTGTCCCATTAAAGACTGCTGCACTTTAAAAGTATATTACCCTAGATGTGAAAGCTACTGTACTGCCTTCATCACTTTATACCATGAGGTCACAATATTTAACTTCGTTAGAGCATAGTAAAGCACAGCCTGTTAAACAGGACCATAAGCCCCAGAGAGAATGTCACCATCTGTTTTGGTAGTGGTCATCATCTTGTCGTTGGTGTGACAAGGAGGAGGTAACATCTGCTCGCCCTCTCCCAGCGGACCAACAATTAAGTGGTTAAGATTCCTGGCCCAGGGATATTTAATTTTGCAGTTAATGGATTAAGCTTCAGGGCCAGTATGGTACGTGCCATCGTTGCATTGTGCTTCTTTGCCTGGAGTGAATAGTTGCTTTTTAGACCCATTTAAAAAGAACGTAGAAGCAAGAATTAACGTATTGAAACTGGGAGTTAGATACAAAGGCCGAAGGAATAAGTGGTATATAGCTGTCAAATCTTTTTTTTTTTTTTTCAGCTGTCAGGTGATTCATTAACTGAAGTCTGACAATGAATTCTACTTCTTAACAAGCTATCTCTGTAAAAGTGTATTGATGTATAGTATATGATAGGATTTTTCCCAGTAATCATTCCATTACAGCCCTTAAGTCAATCTCTCTCTCTCTCTCTCATATACATAATTTCTTGTTTCTCTCTCATATACATTTCATAGCAGTAACATGATCATTAATCTTTATCTGCCCTCTAGCCACCATATAATGGATTGTTTTGTGATGGAAAAGACAGCAAATTATTGATTTTCTCTTGGGTGATCAGACAGCATAGAGAAGACTAGATCTTTACACTGCGCAGGAAAGAGGAGATTATTGCACAGAAAGTGCGTCTTGTGCTTGAATTTGAACATGCCTTCGGCTTGCTCTAGATCAGGAGTTGTATTTATGGTTTGAAAACTTAAAAAATAATGGAATTCCAAGAAAAAAGCTCTTTATAATATGTAAAATGCATTTCAGAATTGTTAAGCCAATACCATATATATACCATGTGTTACAATATGTGAGTAATTTGCACTGACCATTGTTCATAGCCAGCCATTTTTTTAATAGTTTTAAACTTTTAATAATGTATACTTGTACTTCAAATATGCTGCAAAAAGCTACTAAAATCACACAACTTTTTATCTCTGCCTTATACATAAATTAAATGTGAACAAGCCCTGCCATATACCCAGTTCCAGATTCCTAAGATCCAGATCACCCAGATCAAGTTAGATGGTGTATGCTTGTTTTAGCACTAGGATAGAAGTTTGGTTATTTAGACAAGATATATTCTGGTTATCAGCCAACAGATAGCTTTGACTAGAATTACTGGAATGGACTATTGTTCCTGACCATATCCGCTCTGTGTTTTAGCTATACCCATTATAAATGCCATATAAAGATATAGATTAATTGATTACGGTAATTGCTGTATTTCAATTTGATGTTTGGGTGGGTTCAGAATGGTAAAGTAAACCAGTGGGCTTTTTTTTGTAATGTTGATTATAGTCCTTTGCTTGTAGATTATGAGATAAAATTGATGTGTTTTTAATAAGGATAATCTTTTCTTAATTCATTTTTAATATATAGAAGAGTACAGGATGTTTCTATGAGTATTCCTTAATAAGATAGTACCATGGCTCTGAATAAAGTATTGATAAATATAATTAAAACAAGTAATATGAGTTTTGACGTTTGCTTGGAAATTTATTGCCAAAATATGGTATATATCAGTCCAGAAAAAAAAGTGTGATAAGCTCCTTGAGTTGGGGTCTTATTCATAATTTAGAATTCATGTGGTCTCAATTTAAAGGAACAGTGGATTGAGAGAGTTCCTTTCTGAGGGAAATGTCATGCCAGGTAAAAAAAGTTCTTAGTGCTTCTGTAGGGATTTAAATTAGAAATAAGATTTTTTTGGGGGGAGAGGAGAAAGAAAGACAAAAATTAAAGAGCACTTAGAGAATACAGGCCTCGACAAAAAAGTGCATGATTAAATGGGATTAGGAAAATATTTAATTCAAATTGTAATTACTTCTTCCCCTCCTATATAATCATATTGTATCCATCTTGAAGTTTCTACATCAAACACCGCTTTTGTTTTCGTTTTTTAATAAAAGAGAGTATGATCCAAGTTTTCCTATCTCTTCAGAAATTAAAAATGAAGGTGTCTTTTGTGCATTTTAGTCCCAATAGCTCTGCTTAATCTCCTATGTTTAAATTGACCTTTGCAGAAAAGATTGAACACAAATTATGATATTGATGTTTGTCAAATGAAAGTTTAAATTATGACGATGATACCAAGGTGGCTGCAATTACTATCTATGTTGTTTTAGACTTAGCGTTTGCAATTATTATGAAATCAAGAATTCAGAATTTGGCTCTCTGAAAAGAAGCAGAGATGACTAGCAGAAGAGCAAATTATGCATTGCTCATATACTTGAACAGTCTGGCTTAAAACTTACTCCAGGAAATATTGGGAATGTATGAGTCATCATATTGAGAAACTCTTGCTCATGAATGCCAGTTCCACATTGGAATCTTTGAAATCGTGAGCTTAGGAGGTTAAAGGTGTAATAATCACCAAATGGCTAAGATTCTAAAAGAACTTTGTACTGGCTGAAGCATAGAAAATAATAATTGCATTCTTCCTCTTGATGAAGCTAATTAAAATTCAGTAATGAACTGATGTTATTTTATTTCCATAATATGTTGATTATTCTTCACCATTTATTTGGTAAAAATCAAATATTCATCATTTACAAAAAGGACTTCTTTTAAGATGTGATTCATAAGGCCCTTTTCACATGGAGTGGTACAGTTATGGAGATGGGGGGGGGGGGGGGGGTACTCCCTTTCACATGCCCTGTATACCATTCAACTTAATTTGTTAATTAAGTGGTTAACTTTCAGTGTGTTGGAGGGTTCCATTCGGTGACTGTCATGACATAGGCTATTTAACTGTCAATTTCTCTAACTGGAACAGTTCAGAAAACGTGCCACTTGGTTTGAAAAGGCCCATACTAAAAAGTGTCCTGGGTTGTGCAAGATAGTATATCAAAAGACCGAGGTGAACAAATACTGATAATAGTGTTCAAAATGTTTTTAATTGTTTCATGAAAGTATAATAATGGGGAAAACTAAAAGCATCTACTAGTAGACATCCTCTTTCTCACCTTTAAGGCATGACCTAGAATCGACCCATCATCAAAAGGTCTTCAGTTGGTCTTCTGGAACTGACATCAATGAGTTAGCCATGTGACCAAGTCTTTCAGGCCCCGTAGCCAGCAATTTCAAAAGGGGGGTTCTTTTTCTGAGAAAGTGGACCTTTTCCCATAAAAACATAATATACCTAGTTCAATTTTTACCCAGAGTAGACCTTTTCCCAGCAAAAGGGGCGGTTCTTTCGAACCCCCCGAACCCCCCCTGGCTACGGGCCTGTCTTTGATGAATGGTTGAAAACATCACTGCCCCATAGGTTAAAACTAAGTGAAGTTTTTTAAGTAATGGCTTATTTTTTTTTATGACCAGCACTCCAGTAGCCATATAATGTAAAGTAGGTAAAATAAATATAGACAGAATAAAAGAGCTGAACATCCGATATTATAGCTACTTAGTCATTGCATGCTTACTGAGTTCCTGTACCCTGAAGAGCCATTTAACAGTGTATTCCATCTGAAACATGATTCTTAATACTTTAAAAAAAGAGACAGGAAATTAATAATTGTACGTACCAGTACTTCTATTATTGATGGGAATAGAAATGGGAAAACATGAAATCTTCTAGAGAACTTCTAAGAAAAGATGTATGGAGATGGAAAATAATGTTGAGTTTCCCTTTTCTCAGACCATAAAATCTGGCTTTTTTCTTTGTGAACAAGTTCAGCGAACCTTCACAGATTCTGATGGCTTCAAGCCAAGTTCCAGGTCTTATGGTTCCAAATTGATTTTTTATCAAAAACTTCAAACACGGACTCAAACATTTTTATCAAGAGGGTAGCAATCTCAAATAAACCCAGGTTAGCCTTTGTAAATCTCCCAAAGCATAGACAAATATTTTCATTGCTTTTTATCAGCGTTTAGATGTGAAAAGTGTGATAGACGCGTGTTTTAAGTAGTTGGATCATGGTGATGGATGTTTGATGGTGGTAATGAACTCATTCAAAAGAAGGTCTGTTTTGAATCAGTAAGGACTAGGGTAAAAGCTGAAAAGGCTTTTCACATCCTGAGGTATATGACTATCACCCCATTTCCATAGATTAGATCGACCTACTTTAGATCGACCTAACTCCCTGGGGGTTCATGCTAAATAGCTGTCAGCCAGGCAGACACGAAAGTTAATTACCCCCTTACAGCTTGTAGTAGGCGGGACGGACATTTAAGTCGGATTAACTGAAAGTTATCTAGTGAGACTCCCCGCGGGGATAGATAGATCTAAAATCTATGGGAATAGAGCCTATGAGTAATACAGTCTACAGATAGAATTTACTGTAAATGAATAAATGATAAATGATGAAATGATAAATCATAATATTTTTTATTCCATTTGCCAGAGTTAATTATGAATCTGAAAGCGTTTGGCAAAAAAATCGCTCGCCATTGACATATATATATCTGAAATCTTACATAAAAGGTAACAGACATTCTGATCTAATACAGTAGAAAGACGGAAGTTTTACCGTTAAGCGTCCAGGATTAGGAGCTTATTGAGAGAAGTAACTGCTGTGTTGCTTGCTTGCTCCTACTAATTATTTCCAGCTTCAAAAACATTTTTCTGGAGGCAAGTATCTTATCATGGCATGATGAGCATGGAGGCTCTTTCTCTGTGTTATGATATAACCTGCTCAGTTTTACCACAGGCATGTAAGGCGAAAAACATTTACTAGTGTGCACTCTTTCGTGGTTGGTTTACGTTTTCTTTAGAAGCTAATGATGATTACTAGTATACAGTCAGAGCAAAAATGCTTGTCTTTGACTATTTTGGGCCAGTTTATCACTGTTTTAACTCAGAATTTAGTTCAATGTGAGTCTGAAACAAACAACCCAGTATAAACAGATGCATAAAATCTGTCTCTTTTTGTGTTTTCTGCTTTTCATCATATTTTTTCTGTTGCATTTGAATGAATAGTTCTCAGCTACTTTAGGAAAATTGTGCATACTTGCCATAAATAATTTTTCTCAAGTAGCTAAGAATGAGGTGAGCAAAAGGCAGTTCAGTAGAAACACATTAAACTTGACTCTGTCCACAGATCTACAGCAATAACCAAGGTGCCTTCTGGTGCTTTCAGATTGAGATGTTTGTCTTTGTAATGTACCTGTGTCTAACATCAACACAGCACTGAATACCCCAGTGTTAAGAAGATGGAATGTGTATACATTCAGCCACAGGTTGTGATGTGGAGAGCAAACACGTTTTTCCTACTTGTCTAGCTGCTAACACCAAGCTCTCCTGTCCCTGTATGCATTCACATCAGCTCAGCTTTAAACCAGAAGGTGGCCCAATGAAACTATCAGTCTACACAGAATGATCCAACTCTGCAGGGATCTCGCTGAATGTAATCAGGTTATCAGATTAACTCCCCTGGTGTTGAGTAGAGAACAGAAAAGCTGGTGACTATACAAGTACGTGGAAGAGGCATGTTAATCTGATTGCATTCAGTGAGAGTCCATGCAGAGTTGGAGCAATCTACGTCTGCAGACAGATAGTAACAATGGAAATGAGCCATTTAAAAAAGCATCACCTTGCTCCAGCATCAAAAGCATAACAAAAGTGACCTGTTTTTAGTGCTACTGGAAAACCTGAAGGTGATTTTGGGCCACAAATGTGGTGGTCGCCAATTTGCCATAGGTATGGTCTGGGAAGCCCAAGAAGCAAATTGACATTTTAACCAGACATATTTCATTAACATCAATACAGCCCAGCAGGTTGAAATTTACCTTGACTTGTCAAACAGATCAGCTGCTAATATATCTAATGCAAATTTTATTGCAAGTTGATTGTAAACATTCTTGCCCTATGGAGCAATTGTGGAAAACACTATTCATGTATTGGGCTCTTGAGGTGCGTTGAGTAAACATAACTTTTAATAGCTATAAGAATGAACCTCAAGGTGTAGAGAAAAAATATGTAATTGCCATTTTGTCTACCAGTATCTCTTATATACGTGCACTGTATATTTATAGGATATTGAAGGTCTAGACATATTCATGGAAAATTCTACCGGTAAAGTTCACTGTTGTCCTGCAGCAATGTTTTCTTACATATTGTGTCCATAGATATAAATCTCAGTCCATCTCAGTGACTGAACAATTACTAGGGGTACATTTCTCACCAGAGAACCCTACATGTAGTAGTCCCCATGGTATAGTATAGAACCAACATATTTACTGGTAGGCAGTTCTTACCTCCCCTTTAGATTGAACTCTGCTTTATAAGCCCTAAATAATATCATCTATTTGCATAAAACAGGAAATTAAATATATATGACGCACATTGTAAGCTCTCTCCAGAATGATGGAAATCAGATCTCTTTTTTACTTGACATGATTACGTGAAAGTCTGAAGTCTAGGTCAGCTAAATGAGAGCTTATTGGTCAGCGTAACCTGCAGTAATATTAAGGTGTGGGCTTATATTTTTTACTGGGGATGAATTATTATGCAGTAAATTTGCCTTGTATGTGAAAATGAATATCGGATTTTGTTCGTCATTTTGTAGAATAAAATAGCATGATTAAGATAAGATTCCTAAATGACAGAATTTTTTCATTAAATGTGTTCACTAGTATGCGTGATATGTGGGAAAATAAATTTAATTGAATTCATTATATCTTGCAGGCTTTCTGGCCAAACAAGACTATATATATACAGTGGCAAGATTATTTGAACCTTCAAGTGTCTGTCGGTAAGTTAATGTTATACTGGCTTTACCTGTACTGTAGGACTTAACCTTGAGAAGCACAGGGAGCACAAGAATCCTGCAACATCAACATACTTTTTGGTGTTCAGTGTATAATTTATGCAGTGAACTTTTTGACTGGTAAAAAATATAATTCTCCATTTATTCTTTAAAGCTTTGGTAACTGACTGGGCAAAATTAAATTTGCCCTTAATCTTTTAAGTTAAATGTCTGCTACAGTGAGCTAGAAATGAATGGAAATTTTAGGCTATGCTTTAAGCTGAGACTGCCGCACAGGTGTGCTGATTGTTGACAGGTACTTATATCTGGGGCACCCTGCTATTGTAACAGTTTGTAAGGTTAAGCCTTGGTTATAATCAGGGGGTATTGAAGTATGAAGGACCATTACATAATGAAGTGTGCCGTATGCATACCTGTGTAGACTAAATATATACGTATACCTAACTGTTCATAGACCTGGTCCTGTAAGGGATAATGTCAAAGAAAACGAGGTGATAACTTAATTTGCAAGACTAACTGACGGTAAAATTTTCGACACATTTTGCCAAAGGTTGGAATAAGGAGTCACATAGCTTTGACAAATCAGTTGACACACAGAATGTAACCCTTGGGATTTGCCATAAGTTGAATTCCAAGAAAATTGTACAAATGGCTTCTGTTTTAAGGTTACCGTATTGTTTGGCACATCAGGTGACAATGGTGGTTACTAGTAGGGATTGGAAGTTACAGAGAAGGATATAGAGAGACAGTGNAAAAAAACGATCATTTCATCGTTGTTCATACCTTATTTATACTAAAGAGAGGCACAAGTGCTTTTACCTAAAACTTGCATATTATGACCAATCAGAGAAGATTACGTCATCCTCTGCGGGTCAGTGAAAGAAGAAGCATGTTTTTGTCGGGTAATTCAAATATCTTAAGAAAAAAATGAGACACTTGGGAATCAATTATGACATTTTCAACATGAGTCTGACCGTCAACAGTCAACGGACTGGTCAACTTCGCCGATCTTCAAAGCCAAAGGTGTGCGTATTCGTACGCGCTGGGGCTCCAGCCAATGCGTAAAAACAGCAAAACAACGCGTAATTACGCACTCTCATACGCTAACGAGTTTACTGGAGAGAGCATTAGGAGTTTACTGTCATATTTCCCATAACTCCGGATAAAATATACCTGCCTTTAAGTTATTCAAGATTATGCAACTTTTTAATCATTCTGATGAAAAGTGATTGCAAGAGTTTTATATTATTTAAATATATACTAATAGATATATTTTATTTATTTCTACAGGTTCAGCCAAGGTCATTTGTGACTCGTCAATACTGCTCTTAGTGGTGAACTGAAGAGGTTGACCCTCCCATACAGCAGGTACTGTTAAAAACTGGGAAGAATGAATCTCAAGGGTGATCTTGAGTAGTAGAGGTTTAACCATGGGGAAATACATATAGGGCAGAAGATGCTGTGTGTGTGTGTGTGTGTGTGTGTGTGTGTGTGTGTATGTGTGTTTATGTTTTAATATGGATGTGGATTGTAAAATAGTTGTCATGGGTAAGGGTAGATAGAGAAATAAACCTTGCTCTATTATGTTCAACATATCAAGATTTCATTTTCATTGCAACATATTTAGTCTTTTGTTGAAAACGGGAGCAATCTTAAATTTCATTAGTTTTTTCTCACATAAAATTTGAGACACATAACCAATTTTACTCTTGCTGTAACTCATGAAAGTGACACGTATGATGCCTGGTGACATTTCATAGGCCAGATTTACAGAACAGACAAAAGTTGCCATTGATTTCACGCCTACGGATCTCTGACTCACGAATTGTTGAAGAGCTAATGTATTTGTCATTGATTTTTTCCATCCATATTTTCACAGACATTGAGGATACAAAGTGTGCATTCTAGTGGGTGTATGTTGCTATAAGGGTGAGTCAGTTTTTATTTTAGGCTCAAATATAGATAAGGATGCATTAGACGTCCCATAGACTTTATCGACTGAGACTGCAAGCTTTCAGGAAATACTTATTGTGGCATTATACTTTAATTAATTGCAATCAACATAGCAATGTGCCTTTTCCCAATGCAGGGTAAGCTGTGAGGATTAGGTTTGACACTTTTCTTCCTGTAAACCTGTTGTTTTCATAGCTAAAATCACATATCATGTGTTGTACGTGCCAGTTTTCAATACAGAAAGTGTCAGAGTTTATCTGTGGATGATTTCAACATAAACAATTGCAGCTGGATAGTTTTCTTGATAGAATTTGCTTTCTTCCTTTGATGCTATTGCTTATTATGTGGTAGCAACATGAGTTTTGATTTTGATTCATTTCAGGTACAAATAGTTCAGACGTGTCTGAAAAAATGTAAATAGATCTGCTAAGAAACCATTAAAATTGCCAAACAGACAAAACAAGGATTTCCATTTGTCAGAGGTGTGGACTTGCCCGACCATTAGGTGGAAAGGGGAAGTGGGGTAAAAAGACCATCCTTTTGGCCAGATAAGGTCTCCTCTGAACCAAAATTCTATCTACAAGGATCCATCAAGTTAGTAAATCAACTCCCCTTTAGAATTACTGGCTGCAGGACTGCTTGTGTTATACAATAAAATATGCAAATAAGACTTATTCATTTCAGTCAATTCAGGCTCTCTTTTTTTAAGCCTATGCTAGAAAGATTTACTAAAGGGAGGTCAGTTGAGTATTTCAACTGTGGTCAGGTCAGCCGTGGCCTGCAGGTTAAATACCAAAGACCCACTAGCCATTTCTCCTGTCGTTTTCTTTGCTACAGGGTGATTCAGGGTGATTGAAAATGGTACGGCAACTGATTAAGTGACCAATTACACTGTTTCCCTTCCATGCAAATAAGACTTATTCATTTCAGTCAATTCAGGCTCTCTTTTTTTAAGCCTATGCTAGAAAGATTTACTAAAGGGAGGTCAGTTGAGTATTTCAACTGTGGTCAGGTCAGCCGTGGCCTGCAGGTTAAATACCAAAGACCCACTAGCCATTTCTCCTGTCGTTTTCTTTGCTACAGGGTGATTCAGGGTGATTGAAAATGGTACGGCAACTGATTAAGTGACCAATTACACTGTTTCCCTTCCTTCAAAACAGTATGTTACGCTGGATTGTTTGATATACGAGTTCATGTCAGAAAAATGTCAAGGAAATGAAATTACCATACATCACAATGTTTCCAAGGGGTTTTTAATTTGTTGCCATTTTGGATGATAACATCTATGAAGTAACTACGTGAGAAAGTGACGGTTGTTTTCATAAATGTGCATCAATAACCCCAAGAAGAAAACATCATCAGTTACTGTATCTCATCTCCTGTGAGTCAGAATTTTTTTTTTCAAGTTTCCTTTTGTGACAGATGGGGCACGTGGAGTATTGATTTCCTTATGTCTGGACAGGATGGCTGCCGCGGTGTTAGGTAATATGTTGAGACAGACGTAAATGCCAGGAGAAAGAGACGAAAAAAAAAGTTACCTTGACTCATGTTATCTTATGAAATTTTGATTAGTATCTTTTTGCTGGCATTTTTTAAAATGTAGAAAGTGAAAATCCTTGACAATGGTTGCCAATTTTTTATTGGTTACGTGGAAAATCCAATTTTCAGTGACTGTTAAAGAGTAAGAGGGCATTTCCAGAGATTACTAGATCGACATAACTCCCTAGGGGTTCACACTAAATTGCAGTCAGCCGACCGGGCACGGAAGTTAATTACCCCCTTACAGCTTGTAGTAGGCGGGACAGACATTTAAGCCAGATTATCTGACAGTAATCTAGTGAGACTCCCCACAGGGATAGATCGATCTAAAATCTATGGGAATGCGCCCTAATGTTACAAGTTTCAAGATGACAGTAATTTAGATTATATCTGGCTAATGGAAAATTAAGATAAATGATGCCGCATTGACTTCTTCTTGCCAGTGGAATAACATATTTCATGTTGGCTGAGAAAAATGATATGTATTTGTTTGTAATTTTTCTTTTGGACAACAGTCCACATGGGCTGTTCTTGAATTCTATCAGTACAAGAGATATATGTTGTCATATCATTACCTGCTTTTCTGTATTCTCCAGGAGGAGGTGTGTTAAGTGGAATTAGTACACAGTATCTAGTATGATAGAGTTGTTGATAATGCACCCTCAATGTTGGGTGTGAACTCACCCCTAGACAGCATGTCTGGACAAAGTATCTGTGAGTTAAGTCATTTGAAACTTGGAGTGATTTTACAAGATCACCTGCAGCTAAGTAAGACATTTTCAAGGTTCGCCTAACTCCACTTCACCAAGGATGCTTCTTTCAGGTACTTAAGTCAGATCGATGAGATAGTTTCTGAAACAAGATAGGGCATAAATTGTTTTTATTTTTTCCAAGAGGCAGAAGAAAGGCAGGGGGGAAATATCAAAAAGACAAGGGATGTTGAATTGGAAAATATATTAGACATAATGATTCCAACTATGTGCACTGGGATTTTCAGTTGGGACTGTAACAGAATGCATTTTATATGAATTTCCAGAACATGCAATTTGAAAAGAGACCTGCATCATCTCCTTGACAGTGCAAAATGTCAGAGAGAAAATGCTGTATTGTTTAGTTACTGTGCCATGGTAACGGGGATGTCTATCATGTTTAGAGCAAATGATTTGACTAATTTCACCAGGATTTTCACTAATAACTATGTCATTATCACTTACAACTTTGTCATTATGTTATTATCAAGAATAAGTTTCCTCAGAAAAGTATCCATCCAGAGCTGAACTGATTAAGCTTTTTCGTCTGATAAAAACAAGATATCTAAGATGCAAACATCCCAGACAAAAATGATATGGAAAAAAATAACTTGGCAACTGGTTCACTTTCAATGGCCACATGAGTCTGTCTGCAAATTATTGATCATTAAAAGATGTGATTATATTTTTCCTTCTCTACATTGATCATTCTGTCAAGATTTTCGCAGGTCAATATATTATACCCAATATTATGATGATGATTAATGACAAATAAGAAGTCACATATCTTGTACTTTATCAGAATGGTTTTTGACTTTCTGAGTAGACCATTTCAAGACACTCGGTATGCTTTATGGCAAGAGTCAGTAAATTCCCAATTCTTTCCAGAACCATTCTTTGTGTGTGTGGCTGTACTGGTACCTGCTATTTCTGTGTCTTTATATATACTTGTAGCATTCTTTACATCAATGAATTGAAGGGATTGCCATTGCCTTGCAGGAAAATGCTTATGGACCCAGAGGGTTCTTATGTAATTGAGAAATGTCATGTTATTTGGCCATCATTAAAATTGTGCATGTTTTGATGTTAATAATAGATGTTCTCGGGAGATGTGGTGGCACTGGAGTGCATTGGAACATCGGTACAAAACCTTGCTTGGTACAAAAATCTAAAGACTTACGTATCTTGGCAGATGTATACCAGCTTATAGGCTTGCACTATTAAACATTTGTGGACATTTTTTTTTCTATTGACATATTTGCCTAGTTAAAAGAGATGCCTACAGAAGGTGATTAAGGTTTTCCAGAATATCATCAGTTTGCAGGAATGAGTTTTGGCTAAACCAGACCTACTAGTTGTTATTTGGGTGAGATTGTGCCTTTTCATTGTGAACAAAAATGTTTGTGTGGCATTAGCTTTTTAAAGTTTTTTTTTTACAAATTACTCTTTTTTAAAGTTAATTACTGTAAGTTAAAGTAAAATAAATTCTTTGTTTTAGCCTACACTTATGATTAGCTATTTTTTAAAACTCTGAAGAAAGGCTCCTGGTATGTACACCCAAGCTTCAGTCCAGATAGCTGAGTAGACAGGAAGATAACATGAATACTGCCTAGATCTGTTCTGTTACAGAGTATTCACATGGCACAACGTGCATGCTGCATTTACTTTGCTTCTTCATTATAGGTTGGCAAAGTTTATGATGAAAAAACAGAGACAAAGCAGAAAAAATAATTGTATGATTGTTGATTTAATATATATAGATCAATTGTGTTTACAGCAATACATTTTGACACAATGCTGTTTTGGGGATTCTACATAATAGATAACTACCTGGTTTTGACATATTCCAATTCAAATTGGTAGTAGCATGAAAAATCATCTGAAAAATTTAGACTCTAACCCAACTGCAAATCATATATCAAGGTAACTGTTACTTCAATTCAGAGAATTTTTTTAATCAGCAGTTTCATTGACAAGTGATTTATGACACTGCCTGCATGGAAATTGCAAAATTAGGGCAGTCGCAGTTACATTATGCTCACAGAAACGTAGGTTCCCTGGCAATTTGTCAGGGATTTTTCTGGATACATTTTCACAGCGCTGGATAAAATTCAAAGCATTAGATAAGGTTTTGACAATAAATCATTTTAAAATTTGTATATAAACTTAAAGTACTAGTATTTTTTCCAAGCAGAAATGTAGAAGTATTCCCTATGTAGGTCTGCAGTGAGTTCCTTGCTCATTAACTGACCGATAACTCTCGTGTGCACGCACCAGGACATGGCATGTGGGCTTGATATTGCCAGAACTTAAGTAAAAATAAGTAGAAAATCATGCATGTGGCGTTTTCTCTCCGAGACTTAATCCGTTATGCATGCTATTCAGCCATACCACAGAGAAGCAACCAGACAGATAAAAATCAATACTTGTATTGATTCGTTCTACTGTTCCCACACATTGTTGGATTAAAGAACATTTTCTTTAGGGCCCCAGACAGGTATATTTGTGTTTTTAATCAGACTTGCACATGTTAAGAGTATTACTACATGTATACTTATGATGGTGATAAAAACTAGCTGTACAGATTACGTAAGATGTGCTACTAATGTATGGGTTAACATGAAGTGGTTTTTGGTATGCTTGTTCAGGGCCCAGACTGAACAGAGAGATTGTCTGTGATGGTACTGATAACCAAGTCCTGTTTTATTTGGGTGCTAAACAGCTTTGGGATATTATAGGGTATTGAAATTGGTGATTTTGAAAAATTGTGACAGCCTCTCCAAGAGCTTTTTTGCCATTACCCATATCCTTGCATCTTCAGTGATATGATGTTGATGACGTAATGCTATGGCAGAAAAAACATATTCTTGGAACTAGCTCATGGGATTTCCATAATTTTCTCTTTTTTCTAGATCTTCAAATTTCTTTTACAAATAGCCTTTAGTAGAAGCTTTGTGTCAAAGGATTTGAACTAATTTTCCATTTGCTGTCTCATATCCCACAAATTGCTTTGTAAACCACCACTTTGATGTTGAATATCCACATGTGTGGCCAAGATGAACAAGGAGACGGACCTGGATGTGGATGATTGTGATAAAAAAGTGCGTTAGTTGAGCAGATAGAAGGTTTTCTGAGTTTTTTTTAATTTACTAGGGTCACTCACTCTAGCTCAACTATCTAAGATCTAAGATAGCTGAGCTAGGGTGATTGACCTAAGAAAAATTCCAAAAACTGAGAAAAGTTTGTGTAGTACTGTTGATATAATTCTGAATAGAAAATATTTCAAATTCAATAAAAGGTTTATAATTATGAAATTCGCCTTATTCTGAGCTGATGTGAAAGTGAATCTTTAAAGTCACTAAAAGTCACAAAATATTTATGGACAGGTAAACATATTATTGACTATGTGTGAATCCTATTGATCATTGCCTTATAAATATGACCTCTCCTGAGAAGGTTTTATTGGAATTTATTCAAAATTAATTTAGATTTATTAATGATACACAAGAGATATTATTTGAAATCATTGTTTTTATTATTATTGAGAATGAGCCCCAACAGAGAAAAGTAACTTTTGCTTATTCATGAAAGTAAGCAGATAACATTGAGATGATAGCAAAAGAGAGAGAAAGAGAGGGGGGGTAGGGGGTAGCGTTGAAACAAGAACAAGAACGCAAGTCGAACTTGTCAGTGTACTACACGATACCTGGTAGTAACACAATATTTTTGTCAGGTAACGGTAATGTGAATATTGCATAACACGCCCCGGGTGAATTGCGAGTATCAGACAGTTCTGTGGAATTAATAACATTCTTATTGATTTTTCTACCAGAGGGAGTTGCGAGAGATCACTTATGGACTACAAATGAAGCATGAAGCACGCCATTTTGCATGCTTCTCAACTTCATTGTCTGGTATGTGGGTAGTCGGGAATTGATAATCAAATTAAGTCAGGGGCTGTTTCATTGTTTATTAGGGTGCTTTTTAAAAAATAAGTATAACAATTGTGAGAGAACAGTTTCATTAGCTCTGTATGTATCAATTTAAATTATTGTTTTTCTTTTTATCAAGAGCTTAAAAAATATGTGGGTATTACCTCCAATTTTTCTGTGACTGTCAGTCACCATCATCAGGGAGTAAATGACTAGGGTCAATGATCTAGGTCAATTACCCCCAATAATTGTGTCTGATATATTTTGTCAAAAGTACAGCTAATATGAAGGTAATAATATTGAACATTTTCTGCATCCAGATTGATTTTATATCAATACAATTATGCATGCGGGAGTTGGTTTGACCTTACTAGGCAATCTATGAAATTGTATCCTTAAAGTTCCTGTTTGTGTGTGTTTTAAATTTGTTTATAATTCATGTCCTCAAAATTACAGTGCACATATAGTTTCTCCAAGATATTTTTGTCTGTGAGTTAGGGGTTGTCTGAACTATTCTTCACATATATAAATATGTATGTATCATTGCACAAAGGCTTTTGACATTTCTATCTGTCTGTATGAAGGCAAAATTGTATTCATTTTTGGTGACCTAAGGCGTAATTACTGGCAGCGTGAGCCAGTTACTATAAGTTACTATAAGTAACTGGTTTGTGCTGCCCTGGGGGGGGGGCAAGAAGGGCTCAGTGGAGCTCCAGTATATATGTATCTGACCTAAAAATTAGAATTCGATCCAGTGGCAGCCCATAATGGAACATGAAGAAAGCGAACAATATGAAAAACAAAGCAATTGCAGGATTGATTTTCCATTGATTAGGAATTCCTTTTTGTAGCCTGCAGACATAATTGGACTTTCGATGAACAGCAGAAGGGTTTAAGTCTTCTAGGAGTGATGTATTCCAAATCTCTCAAGAGATAAGTTGGAGAAATAGAAGTCTTGGATAAAAGGGATAGATAAAAGTATTGGATAAAAACGAAAGATTGAAGTCTTGGATAAAAAGGAAGTCTTGTTGTTTACCTCAACATATTTCAGAAAATAATCAGAGTTGCTCCCTTTTAATCAATGACATATTTTTATGAAAAGTGCTTCATTTGAATTTTGGCATTATTATTATTATTATTATTATTTTGTAATATTGCTTTTACTGACCTCATGATCAGAGACAGAAAGATTCAGTCATATCAGGTTGTCAAGCTTTCCCAGAAACGCTGTAAAAAAGTGTGGTTTTAGTCATTTATTTGTTAGCAGGCTTTCTTCCAAGTCTTGGTAAATCCCTTGAAGGGATTAAAGAAAGATGACATATCAGCTGAAATCATGCCTTAAGTAACATTATCATAACTTATGTGCCTTCACTATGCCGCCATCGATTCTGTCTTGCAGATCAATACTCCTGTCCTCCTTGATAATATATTGGCTCAATACAGAGTAAGAAAGGAGAGAGAGGAAAACAAGGGACTGTGGACAAAGCTGGTGGCCATTTTATTATAAAAGACACTCTCGTTTTTTCTCTGGAACTCAGTATTAGTTACTAGCTGTGATATCTGTGATATTAAACCAAATGTTAAAGCTTTGTATATATGACTGTTGAATACATTGATTATGCACTGGAAGCAGACATGGGAGTTAGAGGGCTAGCAATACTGAAAGGTGAGGTTTTATTCAGTGAATATAGTGAGATATCTGAAACATTTTATATTAAGAAAGTGGATAACAAGTAGAGGTTTGCTTTCATTCTGACAAGCAGATATTTGTTGTAGCCAAATAGCCAAAAAATGAGGCAAAAATGAAAAAAATTTGGAACAGACAGTGATAGATATTTTTATTTATTTATTTATTTATTTTTTTTTCAATTTTAAATTTTTGAATTGTTTTGATTTGATATTTTTAGCATTTTGGGAAAATTGGAACTATGCCACCAAAAGTCTAGTATGGAAGTGTGCATGATGTACTAGTACATATGATAGCATGCTGGTAGTGAATTAAGTCACATTTTATACAGCTGATAGCTTGTTTGCCGTTTGGTATCTACATCATCAAGCCAGAGTTGAAAATCTGTTCAATAATTGTTGACTTAGTTGGCTTTTCATTGTCTTTTATTTGGTGATGATTTTTTCTAAAAAGACTAAATGTCTGTGTCCCATACCTGATCCATGACCAGTGCCTGCGCCATCCCCTCCCCGAAACACCCCCCTCAACCCCCCCCCCCTCAATCCCACCCTGCCCCATGCAATGAAAGATATCCCAACGTCCAGTACTCACTTAATGTCAAGCATGCGATCAAGACCCTTTGATGAAGGGCCAAATTGTTGTGCCTTAGAAGAAAAAAAAAATAAATAAATGAATACTCTCTTTAGAAACTTTTTTCTTTGTTGTCATTTGTCAAATATGGTTCATAATAACTGTGACATTAATGCCTTATGTTCCATTCCAGGTCTATCAGAGGAGCTCTGAATTGAAGAGACACACACAGCCAGAGGTGCCCAGGCAAAGGTAGAGCTGCCATACCTGACATTCCACTTCCTCTACTCTATACTGTATACTAGATACCAGAGGAACTCTCCAGTTGGGCTGCAAAAATATAGACCCACTGACATTGGACAGGTAAGTAGGATTTGACTGTTCACTGTCACCTGTAACAGTGAGGTCTATTAATGTGCAAAAATTACATGATTTTATAATCATGAAAAGTGTTTTTCTGCATAGCATTTGTGGAACTCTTACTGCATAGAATAGAACTGTAGAGAAGCCTGTTTTTAATTTTGTTGCTACTACTCAAGAATGTTTTAATTTTAAGAAATTTGTATGAAGTAAAAAATACAGTTTCTGTAAAACTCACAATTTTCTCATGTTTAAAAGAGTAATTGCCATACTAGTAAAGATTTTTTTCTGGTTGCCTGCCATTCATATTAGCATTGTTTCTTCTGATGGTAGTTTATCTGTGTAATTTATTGATGCTGAAGTTTAAACTTTTAACTTTCCACACAAAATTGAAGCCTTGAATTTACCTTCACTTCACCATGACCTGTGATAAAAAATATATAGTCAGATTTTCTCCATTTAATACAAATATCTTTTATAGCTGGATTTGTAGATGTGACATGGAAGTGCATTTTTATGCTTATAAACATACTTCTTTATTTCAGAAAACTACTCAGGGTGGTTGTTATGAGGCCCTGAAAAGACTGGGAACAGATTTTTCACAGAAATAATAATTATCCTTAAGAGCAAAGCAGATTACAGTGAGAAAGCCGTTGTCACTTCATTTGCAGAGAAGCCGGATTCAAAATGGCGGACACTGCAGTAGATGATGCACCAGCAGAAGCAGTTCAGCAGAATAATCTTCAAGGTATTGTGAAGAAGTAGTGTACTTATTTTAATTTTCTTTGAACCTTATGTTGGCAATGATGACAGCAATGTTAAGATCATAAGTTTATCTCTGGTTATATTATTATATAACTTACACAGCTACATGTCACATGATTAAAATATTTTTAGAATAAAATGTCCTGTCACTGGTGAATAAAATGAGGCTAAACAAAGGTGATAATTGGGCCTTTATGTTTTAAAAACGTGAAATATGTCTACTTTTTTTAATATTCATCTTTTGGTTTCAGAGGGGCAAATACAGTTGTATATATGATATATATCTTTTAGAACATTTGTATGTGTCAGTAATCATCAATATTTGCATTAAATAATGATATTTCATGTCTCGGAAACATTTCAGATAAAAAAAATTCAATTTCAACTGGTTGATAGTGTGACCCATGCTTGAACTTGACTGACTAGCACAAAATATTCCCAAATGATACACTTTTAATTTTATCATAGATTAAGACATTGAGTAGTAAAAAGGCTTGTTGATAATTCTTGAGTGATAGGAGAGACTAGACTTAGCAAGGTTATGCAATGCTTTTCGGACCCATTCAAGAATTTGTTCTTTCCCAGCAAACATCAACTGAATTGATTTTTCCTGGAAAAGTAGGCAAATTCATTGTTATTATTGAACATTCTAATACACCAATGACATTCTGGCAGAAGTGTTTCAGGTTTCGATTTTTCTCATGGCGGCTTACATAAGAGAACATCAGACTAATTTAAGATAAACAGAATCCAAAATAGACATTTTAAAACTGGTAGACTTACATTCTGGAGACACTTGTATTCTGACTTTAAACATTAACAATTTGAAATCCAGAATACATCACCAGATGTGAAGACTATTACATCAGGGTTTTTCTTGTAAATGTCTTGCCACAGTGGGACCTGTTTGTGGGAAAGATAGAATTACGGACATTTAAGACATTTCTGAATTCATTATGTTGTCTGCTGACGTAATTGAGGGTGAGAATTTACTCTTCCACATCCGTCTGATACATTTTATCGAACTGTTTGTCTAAATCATTACAGGTGGCATGGCTGGGGCATTGATTGCTTGCCAAATGCTTTGATACTTAAGACCCCAAAAAAATTCATGTGTTATTTTAGGAAAGAAAGAAAAATATGTCATGAGGAATTATTTATCATGGAGTATTTACATAGGCAGTGGTTTTCTGTGAATGGTATATGCAGTATACTGATGGTATGGACCATTTGGTATTTTTATTCAGATCATGTATGATATATTGATTGCCCTTACTCCCCCTGGCAAGAGACTGAATTGAAGACTGTTGAATTAATGGACTTTCCCTATGTTACATCACTACCATGGAGAAGAATTCCATTCACTTAAAATGATAATAGTTCTTTGAACGTTATGCTGCTGAATCTTCTCGAAACAAAGAGAATTTGGAAAACATGATTTATAGTCCCTGAAGATGGTGATTTTTCAAAATGCTCTGAAAGGGTTTCGCCAAATGATCCCGTGCACATACGCTGCTGTGTGATAAGAGGCTAAAGCTTGTTTTGACAGAACAGTATGGCATATAGGTGCCCAGATAATAATTGCTTATAAATGGACCTTTTGGAGAGATTGAAACGAGTTATACTTTTTACTGTACATTTTTCTACCATAACCAAATGAAATTTTCACAAATATGTGCAGATACTATGTCCGAAAACTTTCGAAATCTTTCAAGTTTACTAATCTGCTGTCAATTTGTATTCTTTCCAGAAAACACTGGTTTTAATGGAGTGAATGGTGTCCATGGAAATGATGAGCAGGTCTCTCCCGTAGGGGGCGCCCCATCTGACCTCCATGTCTCAAAATCCCCCCAATATGACTCTTTTGTTGATAGACCCACAACCCAAGGTCACAACATTGATGACCTTTTGACCTTTGACCCAGGCACAGCATCTAGGCCGAATGAGGACCATGCCATTGTGATGAATCCCTTGAATCAATTTGGTTTTGGCCAAGAACCCCTGGTCCCCCTTCAAGCAGAGCCTGGGATCCCCATATCTCCCCCTGCAGTAAGTTCGCCTGAGCATCTCCAAAATAATAACCCTTTCTTGAATGACAGAATTGACCAGGAAGAGGGTAGCCCAACCCCGGGGGATTCCCAGGGGTCACCTGACGGAGCCCCTGAACAGTATGAGAATGACTTCCTTCCTAGTGACACCCCTTCTGGCCAGGAAGACTCTGCGTCCCAACCAGACGGTGCAGAAAGCCCCATGGAATCTGGCACTGATCTTATGACTGGGAGCTTTGTCGGGGACGCTCTTCCCTCAGAGGAGGAGCGTCACGCAGACACCTCATCTCCCTTTGTCACAGAGCACTGGGCTAATGAGAATGTGTCCCCCTCCCCTGATCAGCCACCATGCTCTGGTGCCAGTCTGGTCAGAGAAAACAACAATCCATTCCTTAACCCCTATGACCCAGCTGTGGAAGACAGCAGGCCAGAGACGGAGGGAGAGGAGGGCCTGTACAACAGAAATAGCCCCCCTCTAACTCCAGAGGCTGAGGAATCTTTGACGCCCACTGAGGAACATGCTCCCAAACCTGATTTATTGGGTGATTTGTCCATTCCTCAAGCATCCCCTGCCCCTGATGATAAGGCCTCTGATGTGGATCAGTATGAAGAGCAGTTAGATCTCAATGAGAGCAGCTCACAGGAAGTTGTTGGCTCTCGACAGGAAGTGTACTCTCCAACCCAACCTGATGTTGCCCAAGAGGCATACTGTCCTGCCCAACCTGATCTGACAGAATTTGAAAAGCATGCCCATCGTGAGCCCGACTTTGACACTGAGATGAAGTATGAAAATGAGGAATCTGAAAAACAAGCCTCTTATTTAGATTTGGAAGCTGAGGGAGTTTATGGTGAGGAGGAGGAGGAGGAGTTAAGTCGACAGCCATGTGCTGGTAGGGCAGAGGAGGAGCAGGTTGGCTTTGATAATGGTGAACAGTATGGCCCTGAACATGATTTACCCACCCAACCAGTCAGCCCTGAACAGGAATCTACAGGTGCCCCTGCCGATGTTGATGTTGAATCCCATGAAAGTCAAGAAGTTGACCTAATTCCTGAGGGTCCCCCTTCTCCAACTCCCCAGCCCCCAGTGGTTCCAGAGAGGGGAGAGGATGAATACTCTCCCACCCAAGAACCCCTTGCCCCAGAACAATTTCATGATGACCCTGAACACGAAGGTGATCATGATCTTCATGAAGAGGAAGATGTTGTGACTCCAGATGAGGATGTGGTATCTCCCACCCCCCAGAGTCCAAATCTTCCCGAGAGCGAATCCCAGGAATTTGTGCAGCTTGAGAAGCTGGTTCAGTCTGATCAAATGCCTGGTAATGAAAGTTTGAGTCATATTTCTGGCGAACATAGAGAAAAGTCTGCTCAATTAGAAGAAAAAGAAATGGCTTCTCCTCTTGAGCCGGAGGCCCCTGAATCTTACCCTTCAGAATCTGAACTCCCAGAATCTGAAGTACCAGAAACAGGTCCCCAAGAGTCTGCCCCTGAGGAAATGGTGCCCCCAGAACCTGAGCCCACAGAGGTGAAGGATCCAAAGGCTGAAGCTGTTGTCTGTGATAGTAAAAAGTCTACTGGTCAGTTGGACCAAAGTCCAGCCTCCGATGAGGCCAAACCTGACATGGATGACCAGTACAGTACGGCTGTCCAGTGGGGGAGCGAGGCCCCCTCCACTATGGAGGAGAGCTTTAGCAATGACCAGGTCATTAAGCCCCCAGTGCCCAAAACTGTCACTACAGATGAAGCACCAAAACAAAAACCAAAGCCAACAAAGAGCGGTACTAAGCCAATACAGAAGGTCCCACCCACCACAACTAAGCCAATACAGAAAGTTCCCCCTACATCTAAAACTTCTAAGCCACCCCCTGCATCTGCCCCACCCACCAAATCTGCCGCCCCCAGGAAAGCCCCCACCCCGCGCGCCCCAGGGAGAGACAGGCCTGCAGCACCTGGGGCCAAGGTGCCGCTGAGAAAGAAAAAAGGTGCCAAATGTGCTTCGATTTTTGCATCTGTCATATTGTCTCTCAATTTTATACAAGTCTTGATCCTGCATTATCCTGCTGTTGCATCAGTGTTGTTCCTGCATTGTCCCACTGTTGTTATATATTAGTAAATGATGCATTTTGTAATTTGTCCATGAATGGTGGCATATTCTGTTCATTGTGTAAATTTCTCAGTTGTGCATCATGTCTTTTGATAATGGATAGCTGATACATCAAGATTTATTCCGGCCATTAGCTAAGCATACTACAATCGACTTAGTGTTCTAGAGGTATCAGTGATGGCATCTTTTATTGTGAAACTGTTTCCCACTCACCCTACTATTCAGGGTGCTTACAACTTGGGAGTTCATATGAAGGGTAGCAGTGCTTGTCACCATTCATGTTAACAATAGTCTGGCTTTTGCAATATTTCTGACTGCCAATTGCTAAGTGGCTGAAATACTTCTGGCTTTTGCTGACTGCTTCATTTTGTTGCAGCACTGAAATTCATGCATAAAGTATAATCTTTCTGCAATGCTTTGTTTTTTGCTCAAGTTAATTTTGCTTCCCAAGACTTGGGGTTTTGTAAAGCAAGTAATTATTTTGAATGAATCTTTGTAAAATTTCATGTGATTTATTAGATTTTATGAACAACAAGTAAAGTTAATTACATGTTCGAAAAGAAATTTACTGGCAAATAAAATGAATATTTAGTCATGTTGGACTTAATGAGTCTAAAACAAACACACAAGTTCAAATCGTCATGAAAAAATTACTTTCAACAAACCAATAGCAAGATTGGAAACAGAAAAATTGCACTTTTCAGATTCTATTTACACTGTTGTAAAACCCACAATATCTTGTTTATTAATGCATGATTTTATTTATCCTTAGGCAACAATTGTTAATTTCTCACAGTTCCTTTGCCTAGCTCCTCTGAGAGTGGCAGCTTTCGCCATACGGAAGTTATATTATGTTCCATGCATGTTTATGTTGCTTGTTTATTAGTACCACCAGCGTGTACGCTGGCGGTACTCATGGTTTTAGTCCCGACCCGTCTCGTACAGCTCCGCCGGCTCCTGCGGCTCCTGCGGCTCCGCCGGCTCATGCGGCTCCTGCGGCTCCTGCGGCTCCGCAGGATGGCGTGGGATACAAGTCACCGTTACCGCTTCTCCTCCTAGACCGCAAGGACCTGTGTCCCCATCTCTTGGATTTTGGTCACATATAATCTCAACTTGAACCCCCTGGNTATTTATTTGATTGTTTGTTTCTTGTAATGCTTAGAAATGTCAATTCTCTGCAACGTGTGCCACATTAGTAATGTGCATGCCATTTAAACTGGAACTGGTATGGTTTAGGACTGCTATTGATTGGTGCTAACTTCAAGGGCATGTCTGTATTTTTATTATTTTAGAAGCCCCCCCCCCTCCCTTGCCAATTATGAATTGAATGTTGATGAAAAAAGCCTAAGAAAGAGTTTGTGAAAAAAAAACATAATTGGTATCATTTAACCTTAAATGAAAGCATGCTGGTATGATTAGAAATGGCCACAGGCTAAAGACAAGATAGGCTTTTTTTAGGGGTGGAGAGGATAAATTTGTTATCTTTGAAAGCTAGATAGATCGGCTAATATAGCTGAGTTTACAAATGAATGCAATGGGCACCAAAGCTCATAATTTCAGTTCAGTCTTCTTCAGATAATATCCTTTTTCTCGTTATTTCACAAAGATATCTTAAGGAAGAGAAATGCACTAGATTTACCCACACAGGTCTTCTGATAAAGTCTTGTGGAGAGGTGGTGCCATTTAAAGGTCAAAGCCTGTGGTCAGTTCTTTGGTTTTGTTCTCTATCAGTTCATACACTGGCTAACAATGAGTCCAGACCATGGTAGGTTCCAACAGAAGTGAAAGTTATGTTGGGTTTTGCCATCTCAAATGTAGACTGAATGTTTTCAGTTCAACTAAAGTTCAAACATTTTAATTAGGTAGAATTTCTGGTGGCTGTAGGATTTCTATGTTTGATAATTTGTGGTCTAGCAAAAAAGTATTGAAAACATTCAGTCATGTTTGTTTTGAATCTGAGTGAGGAAGGAAATACTTGAGTGCTTTGGGTATTAAGATTATTAAATTAGTTGGTTTACATCTTTATTTGAAGGCCATTCATGATTCACAGGGGACCTTTTTTGGATATTGTCTAGCAGTGGGCGTTATCAGTTTTTTAACTATTGAAACAAAACATTACAGATGGGACGTCTTCAGACAGTGGGGTAGAAGATGACAAGTCTGGAGCTAAGAAGGTAAGCCCCTAGAGAGGTGATATGGTCATATAGTCATTTTCAAACTCTGTCATGATTTTGTTGAGGTTTTTGATAGATTTAAGATAGATGATACAGACCAATTAAAAAAACAGTTTAAATTCTAACCTGTAAAAATAAATATATGTTCTGAGTAATGGAAATAGTCCAGAATAAGGAATAAATTGCATCAAATTCGCTATGATTTTTTTTTAATTTCTGATATCGTGGTAAAAGTTGTACCTGATTTGACAGACAACCCCAGCAAGAGGTGCACCTTCAGCTACTGCCAGTCGACTGGAGGCAAAGAAAACCTCAACACCAGGTGGCGCCACCCCTGAACGTCCCAAAACGGCTACAAAATCTCCAAGACCAGCTGCACCCAAGACAACCCCGGCTGCGACTAAGACATCACGGCCAGAAACGGCCAAGACAGCTACTACCCCTGCCACCAAACCAGCAAGACCCACGTCGGCACGTCTGAATACTTCACCACGAACTCCTAGCTCTACGTCACCGAGAAAGACACCCTCGCCCAGAAAGGAAGGGGCTGAGATCTCTCCCAGAACTGGTAGGAGCCTTGTGTAATGGTTGGAAAAATTGTACAGTTTGATTTTTTTAGCTTTTTCTTACAGACTTCTCTGTGCATCAAGAGACCAACGTTAGTCTAAACCTTGAGGGCTTGTTTGGTCTAACCCGGCCTCCCCTCTTGACATTTTCACATGTATACTGTAACATTTATGTAGATATTGTAAAAGTTTAATGTTTATTTCTAGTATGATAAACAGGTATATCAGCGATATTTACTTTTTCTTTGTCTTAAAGTCAGAGCAAACATCTCAGTATATGAATGCCAGTCATGTTAAAATTTTAGCAAGTGCAAGACCAACAAGTGCAAGGCCAGGAAGTGGTGTCAGTCCCGCACTGAAGAATGTCAAGTCAAAGATTGGTTCCATGGACAATGCCAAGCACACCCCTGGAGGAGGACAGGTAACAGTTGACACGAGTAAAGATTGTTGTGGTCAGATGTGCACCAGCCCAGCAGCAGACCACCTGAGTGAATAGATTGGTGTCTTGAAGAGGTGGCCTGATAATGGAATGGAGTGTCTGGCCGCAGGAACTCATGGCAGAAATGGGACATTGACTCAAGGATTATGCTTCAAAGTTGCAAAAAATTATTATAATTATTATAATGCTAAAAATATTGCATTGCATAGTCATGGTGGTGGTGTTCTATAGATAAATTGACCAACCACATGTTACATGGTTCTGTTGTTGTTTATTTAGGTCAAGGTGACCAGTCAGAAGATAGATGTCAGCAATGTCCAGAGCAAGTGTGGATCTAAAGACAACATAAAACATAAAGCAGCAGGAGGGGATAAAAAGGTAGGAAACTGCCAAAAAGAAAGGAAGTGAAATTACTAAATGTTCTTTGGGGATCTCAGTAATTTTTGTTATTACTTAAAGATCAACACTCTACCTAAGTACCTTTCTTGTAGTTTGTGCTAAAAAGAAATAAAAATTTGTGAAGTCGTTTTCTTCACTTGCCTGAAGCTAAGTATGGGTTACAATTTTTATTTTATAATTGACCAGTATGCATTAGTCGCTTTCCACTTACAATTTTGTTTGTGATACTTCAAAATGTTGCTTTAAAAGTTTTGAAGAGTGAGTTTTCTGTCAAAAAAGTAAATTTCCATGAGTGTCTGAAAATGATAAATCATTGAAAGTAGAAGAAGTATTGAAGTAAAAGATAAAATGGAAAGAAAGGTGTATCAGAAATTTATTAAAAGTAATAATCATGTGCCCAAAAGTATAATGTTTGATATGAGGATAGTTACTTTGCCAACAAACTAAACATACAATCAATGGATGGCTGACTAAGTTGAAGTTCATATACCCCTACATGTTAGGATAATTCTTGGTGAATGAGATCTAGGTAATAAAAGAATCTATAATAGTGATAGCAATGGGCAGACAGAAGTGAAACCTAGTGGCAAGAAAGTTTATCTTCCCCATTGAGCTGTTATTGTTAAGGATACTTTGCTATCTGTATGATGATAAGGATTGGATCTACTCCTCTGACTCTGCTGTGCAGGAAATTAAAAAATGTGGATTGAAGCTTGGGATATTATTCTAGACACCTACACCATGAATTTTCTCATCACAATGTTCTCAACAAGTTTACATGTATTTAATCCTTCTGCCAAAAACATAAGAAGGATACTGATTTGTTTGATTGCCTTCATTGAAATGACATGTCGTCAGTTCCAATTGCAGATATGGTTCAGTTTTGTATGTGAATTATCTGTTTGATTGCATTAATGTGAATGGTATGATTGCTTTAATTTTGCAGGATTGTTTGAAAACTGACATGTGCTATTTGAAGCCCAGGCTTGTCTTGTTTTGTGCTCCCCCTATTGTGCATGCTGGGCTCACGCTTTCATGATGATTTCTATGTGTTGCTGAAAAAATTCTTTATACCTGTTATAAGTAATGATAAAAAGATTTGATGAACTGTCCACAATTTCCCCAAAACATTACTTTGTGCTCTTGCTATTAAGTTAATACCTTGTTGATATTTTTAACAGTAAGAGAAAGATAAATGATATTGTGTGATCCCAGCATTGCATGTGCATTGCATTTTGTGCCATTTTATTTAGCTTGCTTTGTATGTTGATTTTCAGATTGAAAGCAAAAAACTTGAATGGAAAGTAGAAAGCAAAGTAGGATCGCTGGACAACGCAAAACATAAGCCTGGAGGCGGGACCAAAAAGGTAGTTGTGGGTACTTTTGGAATTTCACCTGGGGTTGGAAACGAGGGGCAATATTTTTTTTTTTAGTCTCGTCTCTGATCTTGAGTAAAATATATTGATTGCATCTGAAAGACAATTAATATTCCATTTCTTAAATTTCTCTTTTCATAATAACAAAAGGTTAAATTGACTATGCTTTCCTGTTTATAGCTACTAGTATACTGTTCATGAAATACTAATAGATTTCCATCTAGCTTCTAACAAAGATCTTTATTGGCTGAGCTATCCTTTTAATTGAGTTTCAAAAGTAACAAGGGTTTTGGTTGGTTCTTTTGTTGAACCAGATTGAAGACAGGAAAATAGAATGGAAGGCAGAATCCAAAGTGGGCTCACTAGAAAATGCTAAACACAAAGCAGGCGGTGGTGATAAAAAGGTAAGGATTTATTGGGACTCCCACTAGAATGTGGACCGGAAACAGAAATAAAATATTGAATGGAAGATTCTGTCTAGTGGCGATGTATGTCATGCATACCATTGAGCAGGTAAAGCATTTGGTCATTGACCTGCTCAGAATAGAATAACACCTCAAATATAAGTTTTTTTTTCAATACTCAAACTTTTTTTTTTTTTTTTTGGGGGGGGAGGTTGTTAATAACCTGTGCATTGAGCTGGTGACATTAGAATGCATGTGTCCTGCTTTTTATATCTTCCCTGGTTTATTTCGCAGCCTTTTTCTTAGCATCCTCTTACCATGTATTAACCATTCTCTACCCATAATGCTATTTATAAAAAATGAAAAATATCGAGACACAGTAAATTGAAGGTCTATGTTTTAACATACTGTATATTGTTTTTTGAGTGGAACATGCCAGTAAGCAAAAATTTTACTTGGATATTGTAGGGGGGTTTGAAGATATAGCCTATGATAAATTGCAAGCTATTATTTTGATGTAATATTTTAGAAAGTAAATAATATTTTCAAAGATTTCACAATTTCTTTGCCGTTGCAGAGGTTTTTTTATACATGTTCTAGTCAATAATCAATGTGATATGTTAACGTTTCAAACATAAGTTTATCAGGGTCATAAGTCTGGGAGGCAGGATGAAAGGTATTTGATTGTTTTAAATTAAATTTTAAAAAAGAAAACAAGAATCATGCTTTAGCAATTTTTAATAGGAAAGTATTTTTTTTCTTCTGTTGATAAATAAAAATAACAGATTCACTGTGAGAAGTTAGAGTGGAATGCAGGTTCCAAAGTTGGCTCCTTAGAAAATAACCGTCATGTACCTGGAGGCGGAAAAGTCAAGGTAATTTTTATTTTACTTTGTAGTTCCTTGAACTGTCACTACCATTGCAAGATGTGGTTCTGCATTTAGCAAAGTGTTCAAGTGTCATAACTGGACCTAACATGCTTTTGGTCCGTGTAATGTGGGGAAAAAACACTGCATTTTCTAGCTAGATTCTAGGGTAGATAATTACTTCTTCACTTTTGTCAGCTTCATAATCAACACTCTTTGTAAATGTGAATGCTTTTTATTTGCGGGTGCTTTATATGTGCAACATTCTGGCATGTTTAGGTGTTCAATTATTTTGGCAAACTCTTACAAAAATTGCGATCTTATTTTTTACACCTATATGACATAATTTATGACATGTGACAATTTTGTTAACCATTTATTTGTTGTTTTTGAGGCTGATGGTTTTCATTTTAAAACTTGTCTACACTTGATACACAAATTATCTGAAACTGTGACAGTGCTATCATTTTACTATTAAATGTTTCAGCGTAAACCTCTTTATTTTACTTACTTCACAAATTAAGTCTGCGGGCATTTATTAAGGGGGAGGGGCATTTTATATTGTCTGTCCTAGTTAAATTATCACAATTTGAGCAAGAATGTGTCCATAGATAAATGTCAGAACTTAACATGTATTAATAGTTTGGTTAGCTCACTCATTACTTTTTGAAAAACAATTTATTAACAAAAGTTGGAAAAAAATGTCACAGAATTTGAGCAATTACAGCACCTGTTTGTTCATGTTTCTTTCTTTCTTTCTCTTTCAACCTTTCATCTGTACTGACATTCTGCATAATCTGACATTTTCTTTGTGCTGTGTGGATATGTGAATGGTTTAAGTCTAGATTATTGCCAAACGTTGGTCCTGAATTGAATATGTATTCTTCAGAGTAAACAAACAAGCAACCACCATATACAGAATTGACTAAACATTTTTACCTTCTTGCAATACTATCTTTGACTACTGTGATCAGATTGTTAAAAGATAGTCTGCAGCATTTGTTATGTATGAAATAAATTAAGATGCATGGTAAAAGGCATTTATGGGAAACCAGGTGAAAATCTAGGTAGGTTTAATGTAGTATAAGCGATTTTTTTTTCAGTGATAAGTGGTAAAACCGACGGAAGCTGTTTTGTCTTCTATATTGACATACGTACTATTTTATGGCTTATATTCTTGAACTTTTATATTACAGTAAATGAGAAAATATTTGTTCATTTTTGAAAAATGAATGTCAAATAAATTTTTTAGTTTCAGTAATGCATGTCACATGTAATGTCACCCCTCAGTTTTGATTGAAATGACATGCATCCTCGTTAGTCTGTATTAACCAAATTGCACAACAGAGATGTGTTATACACTGTCTTGTTCATGAAAATTGTTTAGTTTTTTTAACAATTTTTGAGGGAAATTGATCCTTTCTGATCCTTATGATATAAGATGATATGATGATTTCCTAAAAGAAATAGTCTGTTATTGCCTATAATTGAGTAAAAGCTTTAACTAGCCTTGTGCACCTTGTTTAATTTATCTTTTTTTTTTTTTTTAATTTTTTTATCAAAAACATTCATGGTCAAGTAACAAAATGCAAAGAGAAAATGAAGATTTTTCTAAAACTTGAATATCAAAGGACCAGAAAGCATCAGTTGTTTTCAGATTGCTCGCTCCCAGCTTAATCCCTTTGTTTCCTCCCTGCTGTTCAGATACATGATGAAAAGCTTGAATGGCGTGCAGATTCCCGCATTGGCTCGCTTGATAATGCACAACACACACCCTCTGGGGGCGATGTCAAAATACACAACGAGAAACTAGATTTCAAAGAGCGAGCTCACTCCAGGGTCGGCTCCCTTGAAAATGCCAGTCACAAAGCAGGAGGTGGCGAGAAGAAAATCTTCAATGAGAAAGTCCAAGTCAATGCTCAGTCTCGTATTGGCTCTCTTGAAAATACCACTCACACACCTGGTGGCGGGAAAGTCAAAATTCACGATGAGAAATTGGGTTTTAAAGAGAGGGCTCACTCCCGCATAGGGTCCTTAGAGAAAGCTGATCACAAACCTGGAGGGGGGAAAGTCAAAATCCATGATGAAAAACTTGAATTTAAGGATCATGCCCAGTCTAAAGTTGGATCTCTGGAAAATGCCCATCACACAGCAGGGGGTGGGCATGTCCAGATTCACCATGAGAAAGTAGATTTCAGCGAAAGAGCTCATTCTCGTATTGGCTCTCTTGAAAACTCTACTCATACTCCATCTGGAGGTGACAAAAAGATCTTCAGCGAGAAGTTGGAGTTCAGTGAGCATGCCCAGTCCAAAGTTGGTTCCTTGGAGAATGCCGAGCATGTGGCTGGCGGAGGCACTGTTCAAGTAAATATGTAGCTCTAGTGTAGCTTACAGCTTGCAGTGTGAACTTAGACTGACTCAGAGTTTGCAGTGATGTGTCTAGCAGACACCTTGTCTCTCTTACAGTGTACAGCATCTGCTATATTTCTAATGGCTGTGAATTATGCTGAATCTGACCAGTGTCTAATATAGTAGCCATGTACTTAGTTTTTATCTTAACGTGCACTTACTCTACTGTGATACCCTCTAACTTCTAAGTGATATGTGCAGTATTCTTAATTAGCTGTATTATCTAACTCTTAGTTGATAGAAAGGTTTGAGAGTGCAGTTGTTATTCTCACTGTCACCATCTATCCCATCTTTGATGTGTCATAAAGTGATCCTTGGTCAACAGATGTCTCAATTTGTAAAGATCTGCAGTGATTCTCTCTAAAACAGTTCTTCAGATTCTTCACCTGAACGTTATCTCTGTTATTTCAGTTTGTGGTTTACACATTGTTAGTCATTCTTTTCAATATGGCTGGACTTCCAACTAAGCAAAGTGTCCAATTCCGTTTCCTAACTGCCCTAATTTCCAAATTGAAACTCTTTATTTTTTGTTTGTTTGTTTATTAACTGTTTTGTGACCAGGGTTGCAATTCTCAAAATGTTCATATCTGTTGTTAAGTATTAATCAATACTGGGATGACTTTTGAAACCCTTGATGATTATCATGGTAAAAATAAAAGAGAGTACAAGAATTCATAAGAACAGACTACCCTGGGACAATTTGAATGTGCACTTTACCTTTGAATGTGTAGGCAGTTATTAGCTACGTGAGAACTAATATTCTGTAGAACTAGTGGTTTGATAGAATATTAGTGATCAACTAACAAAATTATATTTTTGTTGTTGTGGATTTTATTTAATTTATATCTGAATTATAATTGAGAAAATTTTGAAGGATCAAAAGTAGCCTCACCTTCCATGGTTTGAGAAATCATATTGTCACAACCATTGCATTAGTAAAATCTCACCTGTCGCATTCAGCTCCTTGTATGTGAAATCACAGTAAATACAGAGAAGTGACTTAATATTGTCTGTGGGCATGTTCTGTAATTAAATTACAATTCTAATTAACAACTTTGATTTTTTATTCCTCCATGAGCTTGTCGTTTAAAATGTTTTTATTTGAATGTTCCTCAACATGCATGTGTATGTGCACTTTGCATGTTGTCTTCTGTCAATCATGACATCTTGAATTTTTGACATTCATATAACATGGTTTGCCCGTCAAATGAACTGTGAGACCTTTAGTCACAGTGGTCATCACATCTACTTACTGTGGCTGTTTTTAATGAGGTTTTTTAATGTGTTTTCTAGATTGAGAGCAGGAAGTTGGATTTTAAAGATAAAGCCCATTCAAAAGTTGGATCCAAAGATAATATAACCCACAAAGCTGGAGGAGGGGACAAAAAGGTAGGGATTGTAGCTTAATTGTTGCCAAATGGCCTGGGACTTCCTATATATAGAGGTTGAGCACATTAAGCACAGATGATCCGCAGACTTATTGATTGGCTGACTAAATATGGCCGACCCCACTTAAAAAACAATGCTGCTAATTCCTTGATGGTCTCCCTGACTCTACACAGGTTGTTGCTGCAGGGGCCTAGCAATTAAAACCTCGAAGCTGAGATTTAATCTGTTTAAAACCAGTGACTTCCTTGGGCAAAGAGGCAGTATGTAATGATCTAGTGAATTTACAGATGTGTTAATCTAAGACAGTTGTGTCTCTCGATGATAAGAGCTGCATTTGATGTACAATATTTTTGTTGTCTTGATTACATGTATGTTCTAATACAATAAGTTAAACATTTTTTATATCAGTAGTAAGAATACTTGGAAAAGCAAAGTGAAAACCTAGTTATACAAATTCTAAATCTTTGCATAAATGTGTCAGGGCATCTCATGTGTCATATTATTAACTAATTGCTACTCCTTTTTTAGATCGAATCTCATAAACTAGACTTCAAAGAGAAAGCCCACGCAAAGGTTGGTTCCTTGGACACTCCACCCAAGTCTCCAAAATCAACTGAAGGAGGCAGCAGTGTTGGTGACATCCAAGATGTGCAAGAAATACAGGTATGCAATAATTTTATTTATTTATTTATTTATTTATTTATTTATTATTTATTTATTTATTATTATTATTTTTTTTTTTTTTTGGCTGAAATTACCCACAAATTTTCCATAAGTGTTTGGTATAATGATTGCGTGTGGGGATGGAACTTAAATAAAATACAATTATGCTATATCCATGAAAGCCTTACTGGGTTATGAATGGCTTTGCAAACTGGTATGAACAATTTATTAAAACATTGCTGTTAATATAGAACAGTAATGACATTTGATATATTAGATGTTGCATTTATTAGTATCCCAGTATCATAAAACTTCATTCCAGAGGTGGGAAGTGGAGAGATTTTATCTATTGATTTATTTTATTTGAATATTTCACCCTGGTTATTAATGCTAAGTGACAGGAAAGCCAAACCCAAACCTGCTATGTTCTTGTGTAGTGGGAAATTGGTAAAGTTTAAAATATGCTTTAGGCTTTTTAATGTTGCAGAATCATATTTTGTTTCTTAATATCCTACAGAGCTACTTATCTTTCCTTATTCAGACCTTAAAAATGACAAAGCCCAGTAACCAAAAGTACCTGCAGCGATATTTCCTTCTGAAATGTCAAGAAGTCTGTGGCAGTCTAAATACAGTTTCTAACCACACATTTAGAACTAAATTATTTTATAAAGATTCTTTAAAACATTGTCATTTGATCCAAATACAGGGATGGCTTGAGCAATCAATTTTGAGTAGGATAATTAAATTTCCCATAAAAGCCCTGATGGGATATCTTGAAAACGTGAATTGTTTCTAAAAACCGACTTCTCAGAGATTTTATAGATGATGTATTTTTATCAACTCTTTTGGAAATTGTTTAGAATTGTTTCAATTCTTTAATAGTAATTAATTTCATGTGGGATGCATAGCTCATACTTTATAAGAGTAAATGTGGCATTCTTAAAAGTAGGCCCTCTATGTTTGAAATTAACATTAATAGTATACAGTTTTCTATGGTGAGGATGTTGAAAAAGCAATCTAAATCACGGTATAAATTTCTTGCCCGAATATACACTGAAAACAACAACAGGTGTGGGTGCAAAACACACTAACACACCTTAACCTAATATATTGCATTTATTACGCTTTCTGCGACCATGTTAATGCACAATTAAATCAATACCTTTAAAAGCAGAATAACATATTACGATAAAGACCCCATAAGTCTCTATCTTTTGTGTCACTTTGGCTCTACTTTTAAGGAAATCACTGACCCGCGTGGTCGTGGCATTGATTTAGTCTGCAGATCATCTCAGAGTTGGTCCCTCCATTCACACCTAATCGACTCCATAATGCACCATTGTAGATTTACAGCCAATTCACAATGACCAAGTGTGTTCACTAATTGTATTGTGTTTACCAAGAAAAGACTCCCTTTTCCTGTAGATTTTATTGTATTGACTCGATAATGCTGCCTTTTCACTCTTATTTATTTTCATTGCTTAATGTTGAAACATTCCGCTGTGTGTATTGGGACCAGTATGTGTTGATATGTGTATAAAAGATGTCCATACTGTTAAAACACACCAGGTTATTCTACTTATGGTAGGAGAGGGTATGCAAGAAGTCCTCACCTTATTTAAATTTTCTGTCTATAAGCATTGATTTTCATCTGTACTGAAAAAAAGTTTTTGAAACTGCATTTATGGTCATAAAATGCAGCATAATCCTCTCCAAATCAGCCACTTAAAAGACTATCCACTTCTTTCTGCCCCCTTACCTCCCCCCCCCCCTCCAAATATTGATTTTCAAAGGGGCCAGAGGAATATGACCTTGAGAGTAGGAACCGCACAGTCTAATTGGTAACTGTTTCAAACCTGTCCGCTCTGTTTATTGTTACTATTGACTTTGGGGAGTGCACGGATACTTAGGATCGTTAGACTTTTCTACACCGGTAGATAGAAACCTGTGCCTATAGAGGAAAAACGTGATGGCCCTGACTTGCAGTGGATTATGGCCATGAAGTGAGAGCAGGGACAGGAGATGTAGAAAAGAGATATTGGATCATTCTCATCTATACACATTGAGTCGGAGCTAGATGTAATGAGATAAACCAGGCAATGGCTGATACTGTTTAGATGTTGTGACACAGTTTTGAGTAGCCTGGAAAATGCTTTGAGCTATATCGTAATTTTTTCAAAGAGTATTGAAAGAAACATATACGATACCTTGGTAATTCCATGCAAGGGTCATCTAAAGAAAGAAAGCTGAAGACCTTTGACTAATAAGCATTCAAACTATAGAGCAAATTACCTTTTCCTTGCAGTATAAAGCCAAATATTTGCTTGAAAGAAATGATTTGTTTGCTAAAAGTTGCCATACATTGTGGCAATATTGACTTCATTTTTTGCCGCAGCAAACGATTGGAATAGTGTTTTCCCTGTGTATCAACTTATACAAACAGAGTTACAAATGTAGCAGGGGAAATAAAACTGGGATTTCAAAAAAGTCTATCAGAACTATTGACTGCTGGGAGATTAGTTGTTACGTATTACAACGAAGACTAAGTGTTGTGAGGAAAATAACATTCGGGTAATTCAATTAAATTATTGATGACATTATTATCTGGATCGAAAGCCTTCCTGAATCATCCAGTCATTTATCCAGTGGCAGAAGAGAACATGAGGGTTATTAACTATTTCAAAAAAACAGTCCTCTTTCTGCTGAACTTTCATTGCTATGGTGATCGCTAAGCATAATTAACAGGTGGAAAACAAGGAAGCGAGGGACATCTCTTTAGTGCTTAAGGACTTCATAAGTGTAACAATAGTTACAGAGTTGTCTGTGTACAACTGTTATCACCAAGTGAGCAGTAGCTGATCTTCTTGATTGAAAAAGACAACATTCTTAGACTGAAGAAATGACACAAGAGGACAACATCAGTTGGAAATTCCAACTCAATTTGGTAAGCAAATTTTCACCCCTTTTTTTAAAAACCATTATGTCTTGTTTTGAGTATTGTGTTTTCATCCATTGTTATTTCTTTTACTATTTTATTCTCATATATAGGACTTTGGGACACTAATAATTACTATGCAAACATATTTGAGGTCTATTAGCACTTCCCAACTGTAAAACCTACAGACCTCCCATAACTGTATTTTTACGACCAATGTTCCATAACTTTGCACAGTCCACATGAACAAAATGGCCACTTTTCCCACAATGTTTATCTGGTCATCAATTCACATCCCTCAGTCACCATGGTTACAATATTTCCCCTTCCTCTGTCCAACTTAAACATTTAGCATTTAGATATTTGCCAAACTTAAATGTTTCAAATGCTGACATGTCCTCAAATATTTGAGAACAAAAGAAGATTGATTTTTTAATGTGTCCCAGGCAAAATGGTCAATTGTTCAAATATACTGATCTGTCCATTTTTGAAAAAAAAGGTAGTTAGAAGTGTTTATCTGGTGGTATAGCAAAGTTAATGTCAATCTTGATTTTAAAACCTTAATTAAATTTTTGTAAAATAAGAATGGATTTTTCATTGCAAACATTCAGGATCATCACTCTAGTTCAAGCCATGGAAAAAATCATTTCCATCTTTCTTTACCTTTTACCATTTGCACTCACTATTTAATTATAACTAATGGCCCAACAATTTCTATTAATTTTTTTTTGCATTCCTGATTATTCACATATTAAATAGACATATATTCTATTTGACGTGGCATTGTCGCCAGGAATCTCAGTAATGGATCACACAATCAGCATTGCTCACATATTATCGATACTGTTTTGACACAGAAAATTTTAATTCTCTTGCATCGTGTCATGCATTTCCCCTCATAATGGTATCAATTTAGCCATTTCCTTCAGTATACTTAATAGAGAAAGGACTCCATGCAAATGCTACTTGTAGGCAGATACAGTATATGTAAAGCAGAAAGAAACAAGCCATTAAAATCACCTAGTTGATAAATATTTCTTACATTTAAAAGGCACTTTGGCATTATATCACCAATAATAAGAAACATCTTGTTTTTAATTAAGTACATGGAAACATTTTATTTATATTTGAATCATTTACATTTAATTTAACATTTTCATATGAGTTGTGAAACTGGTAATCTGAAAGAAGTGCACTCTTATTTGGTCGTACTATTAGGTCCACAGACCCATGTAGAATTTGTCTCCAGTAAAGGAACAGTTACTGTGAATTCTCTGATTTAACATATTTTAAGTTGTTTAAAAGGCATCATTTTCNTATATGTGTTGTGAGGAAAATAACATTCGGGTAATTCAATTAAATTATTGATGACATTATTATCTGGATCGAAAGCCTTCCTGAATCATCCAGTCATTTATCCAGTGGCAGAAGAGAACATGAGGGTTATTAACTATTTCAAAAAAAAAACAGTCCTCTTTCTGCTGAACTTTCATTGCTATGGTGATCGCTAAGCATAATTAACAGGTGGAAAACAAGGAAGCGAGGGACATCTCTTTAGTGCTTAAGGACTTCATAAGTGTAACAATAGTTACAGAGTTGTCTGTGTACAACTGTTATCACCAAGTGAGCAGTAGCTGATCTTCTTGATTGAAAAAGACAACATTCTTAGACTGAAGAAATGACACAAGAGGACAACATCAGTTGAAGGAAATTCCAACTCAATTTGGTAAGCAAATTTTCACCCCTTTTTTTAAAAACCATTATGTCTTGTTTTGAGTATTGTGTTTTCATCCATTGTTATTTCTTTTACTATTTTATTCTCATATATAGGACTTTGGGACACTAATAATTACTATGCAAACATATTTGAGGTCTATTAGCACTTCCCAACTGTAAAACCTACAGACCTCCCATAACTGTATTTTTACGACCAATGTTCCATAACTTTGCACAGTCCACATGAACAAAATGGCCACTTTTCCCACAATGTTTATCTGGTCATCAATTCACATCCCTCAGCCACCATGGTTACAATATTTCCCCTTCCTCTGTCCAACTTAAACATTTAGCATTTATATATTTGCCAAACTTAAATGTTTCAAATGCTGACATGTCCTCAAATATTTGAGAACAAAAGAAGATTGATTTTTTAATGTGTCCCAGGCAAAATGGTCAATTGTTCAAACATACTGACCTTTCCATGTTTGAAAAAAAAGGTAGTTAGAAGTGTTTATCTGGTGGTATAGCAAAGTTAATGTCAATCTTGATTTTAAAACCTTGATTAAATTTTCATAAAATAAGAATGGATTTTTCATTGGAAACATTCAGTATTATATCAGTATCATCACTCTAGTTCAAGCCATGGAAAAAATCATTTCCATCTTTCTCTACCTTTTACCATTTGCAGTTACTATTTAATAATAACTAATGGCCCAACAATTTCTATTAATTTTTTTGCATTCCTGATTATTCACATATTAAATAGACATATATTGTATTTGATGTGGCATTGTCGCCAGGAATCTCAGTAATGGATCACACAATCAGCATTGCTCACATATTATCGATACTGTTTTGACACAGAAAATTTTAATTCTCTTGCATCGTTTCATGCATTTCCCCTCATAATGGTATCAATTTAGCCATTTCCTTCAGTATACTTAATAGAGAAAGGACTCCATGCAAATGCTACTTGTAGGCAGATACAGTATATGTAAAGCAGAAAGAAACAAGCCATTAAAATCACCTAGTTGATAAATATTTCTTACATTTAAAAGGCACTTTGGCATTATATCACCAATAATAAGAAACATCTTGTTTTTAATTAAGTACATGGAAACATTTTATTTATATTTGCATCATTTACATTTAATTTAACATTTTCATATGAGTTGTGAAACTGGTAATCTGAAAGAAGTGCACTCTTATTTGGTCATACTATTAGGTCCACAGACCCATGTAGAATTTGTCTCCAGTAAAGGAACAGTTACTGTGAATTCTCTGATTTAACATATTTTTAAGTTGTTTAAAAGGCATCATTTTCTGACATAAATATATTTTCTGAGATACCAATAATTAATGCCATATTTGTGTAACATAATGAGACTATTTTAAATATTGACTAATTTTTTTAAAACTTATTTTCAGAAAGAGTTCTCCCCTATGGATGCTGATAATCAACTTAACTTCAAGGTGGATGTAGATTGAAACAGAAAACCAGTCAGCACAGTGTTATATGAAAACAATTAGGAACCATTGTTTTCTAAAACAATAAATTTAGTCAAAGACTGAAATAAAAAAAATTGGCTGCACTGAAGAAACCAAGTCTGAGGCAGAAGCAGAGACATTTAACTCATTAGAAATTTCTCTCAAGACAGTTTGAAAGAGCAGCTTTGTCTTGATACCTAAACAGGGACGTTTATCTCCAACAGCTGTGTACTGTTTACTGTAAATGTTCTGTCTACATAAGATTACATTAGTTGACTGAGAGCATATTAGTCTCACTTGTCCCGATTATAGGGTAATCTTATATATTACTCCACAGGGGAAGATGATAATTTAGTCCTTGGTTTTTTATGGTACAATTACAGGTAGAAGATTATAGTGAAAGATGCATTAGTTCTAAATACCTGGAAATAATCTTACTATCTATATTAATGATAAATAGCAATGAAGTACCCATGAATTACTGCAACAATTTATATAAGGATACTGCAGGATGCTGCTAGTAGATTATGTAGGATTTTCATAAGAATAGATTGCTGGGTAACTGCAGGGGGGGAATTTGAAGATACCTTTTAATGAAAGTCATTTTGTAGTTTATTTGGATGTGCCAGTTAATCAATAATGGGGGATGGGAAAATCAATGAGACTTATGAAAAGGCATTTATCACTATTGCACCTGCTAGAAGACTAATGGAGAAATTTGTGCAAAGAGTGTACATTTAGTTATACTGTTCTCCCCACCCCAAAAAAAGTCAATAACAGTGAGGGAAAACAAATTACAGAAGAAGAGAAAGTATTGCAGAGATTTCATCGTAAAGAAACGTGAACATTCCAAGTCATTGAACTTACAACTAAGAGATCTCACTATTTAGATAAACCCTGCTCTTAAAATGCCAGGGGAAATTAATCTGCAGTGTGAAGAAGGGACACCAAAGCATTAAATTGACATTTAGACCAAAGTTGCACAGAACACAGTACAAATTCCCTCACCATATTGACATTTACCAGGGGATGAGAGGTATCCTTGTGTACGTGCTTCTGACTTATCAAGCACAAGAGGATTATCTTATTTGACTCGAAAGGATTTAAGCTATAACCTTTCACATGCTACTGACCTGACGTCTGGATAATTATCAAATTAAGATCAGTTGGATTATCACCAAGTTATCACACGTAAATAGTGCAGGTAGAGATTAAGGGTGTGAATATACAGTTGTATGAAACATTGTGGACAGCAAGACATGAGGAGCACGACATGGAAATTCATACCTGCTTAAAAGAGTGTTATTCATGTTTATGTACCTCTTGAGGAATGTGTTTAGGGAACAAATAACGGAACATAGAGAAGACAGCATGTCGTAGCCCATGGTACTCTTATCCAATTCAAAATAACTTTTTTATTCGTCGGCTGCATATAAGGATAGAAATCAAAGAGCAAAAATGTTTAATTAAAGGAGGTAAAGCATTTGGTTTTTGGATGTGAAAAGGAATACCATGAATTCTGTAAGAACTGGGAGTAACTAGAACAAAAGTGAAATTTTGAAATGGATTTGGATCTCTAATGTTTTGGAAATATTCTGTGTACGCGAAGGACAACCCAGAGTTGGTGAGGCATGAAAACATGAGTCAAAAGACAGCAAAAACTGAGAACCAGTCCACCAATGGCAGTGGAGATGATACATCGTCTCTCTCTGGTTACAGATACATGGTGTATAGGACCCCGCTGAGGTGGGAAGCAGAGGCAAAAGTGCGTTCCTTGGACAATATAAACCATAAAGCCGGCGGTGGTAATGTCAGTATAATTCACCACAATACCAAGTGGAATAAAACTGCCAAAGTCGGTTCATTGGATAACTATCACCATCAGCCAGGCGGAGGTAATGTTGCCATAGAAACCAATAGTACTGATTGGAAGTCAAATGCCAAAGTTGGTTCTCTGGAAAAATTGAACCATAAACCAGGTGGCGGCAACTTCAAAATTAAGAGCGAAAAGCCATCATGGCAGTCGGGCTCCAAGGTGGGGTCCCTGGACAACTACCACCATGAACCAGGGGGTGGGAATGTACAGATAGAAGAGAGAACTCTAAGATGGAGAAATGAAGCTAAAGTTGGGTCCTTGGACAATGTAGACCATGTTCCTGGAGGGGGCCAGGTTAAAATTCAAAGTAGAAAACTAAAGTGGCAAACGGAATCAAAAATTGGCTCATTGGACAATATATCCCATTCACCAAGGGGTGGAGACATTAAGATTGAGGACAAAAAACTTAACTGGACATCAAAGTCAAAAATTGGTTCTTTAGAAAATGTAGATCATACCCCTCGAGGAGGGGACAAAAAGATAGAGAGCAAGAAATTAAAATGGAATGCAGGTTCAAAAATTGGTTCATTAGACAATGTATCCCACTCTCCAGGTGGAGGGAACATTAGAATTGAAGTCAGAAGTTTATATTCTGGAAGAGCAAAATCAAAAGTTGGTTCCCTTGAAAATGCAAGTCATATACCTGGAGGGGGTAATATAAAAGTTGAGACTAAAAAAGTAAAGTGGTCTCAAGAATCAAAAGTTGGCTCTTTAGATAATATTCACCATATTCCTGCTGGTGGTATGACAAAAATTCAAGATCGAAGGCTTTTCTGGAGGGGCAAGTCAAAAATTGGATCTTTGGATAATATCAGCCATTCTCCTGGTGGGGGTAACGCTAAAATTGAGAACCAGAAGCTTGAGTGGAACACTCGGGCCAAAATTGGTTCTCTTGATAATGTGTCTCATATTCCAGGTGGGGGGACTTTTGTTATCCCTGATTCTATTCCAAAGTGGAGAATTGTTTCAAAAGTTGGCTCCCTGGATAATGTGGGCCATATCCCTGGAGGTGGTGACAAGAAAATAGAGAACAGAAAACTGCAGTGGAAAAAGGAATCAAAAATAGGGTCCTTGGATAAAATCTCCCATGTACCTGGTGGTGGGAATGTTCAGATCCAGGATCATAATTTAAATTGGAGGTATAAGTCCAAGATAGGCTCTCTAGATAACGCTAGTCATGTACCTGGTGGGGGAAAGAAGAAAATTCCTATGAAAAAAGTCAAATGGACAGCAAAGAGTAAGATTGCATCACTTGAGAATGTGTCTTATGTCCCTGGTGGGGGAAATGTTTCCCGTGTTCTTAATACAAATAAGCTTTATTGGGATGGTGTTCCTCGAACTGAGAGTCCTCCAAATACCCGTTTAAAATTCCCACCAATTGAGTCCCCATCGCAAAATAAACATAAACACAATGGGAAGACCACATCATCTCTTGAAAAAGTTTACCTTCAGTCTAATGGAGGTAATGGAAAACTGCCCCAGTTAAAACTTAACTGGAAGGCGACATCAAAGGTGACAAACAAGAAAGGTGGGGATAAAGAGGGAAACCAAAATGTTAACTTTCAAAGTAAAGCTGAGGTTAGTTCTTTTCAGGCTTTGGGTGACTTGTATCAAATGGCTTATTAAGATGGTACTTGGTACAGGGAGTCTTCTTTGGTAAAGTTTTTTTTTCCCCCGAAGGATTAGCCCTATTTAGACCAATATTTGCAAGGTATGTTTGTGTATTGAATGGGAGGGGCAGGATAGGATAGGACAGTCTGCTAATCAAAGATGTTTCAGATCAAAGAACTGATTATGTTTGCATATCAATTAGTGTAAAACTTGAATTGTATGATGAAATGTTATATTGCTCTAGTCATGTTCAGACTGGGGTACTCACTGATCAATGTGACCAGCATTTTGTACCATGATTCATGTGAAGAAATTTTTGATACAATCAGGTTCTCTCTGTTCTTCAAAATATTTATTTGCTCAATTCTGATTATGCCAAATGTGTGAAACGACTGTGTGTCTAAATGCATTGTGATTTTTAAATATTTGGAATAAAGTTAGTATATTTTTATATATGTATTGTTTGCTTGTCTTGTAAAAATAGTGTATCCCATTGCTTACATTGATTTTCAGAAACATGAATTTTCTGCTTGTCAGTATAAAGTTGAGCATGGTTTGTTGTTGACTCGTTATCTTAAATATTCATTTTCTGTTCCATTTTATTGGATAAATTATTTCTTTATTTTATAATTAAAAGAAGTATTTCTTTATTTTATAATTAAAAGAAGTATCACAAATGTTCTTGTGAATGGTTTACATATAGATATTAATGAAAACATTTGGGAAAAATTATTTTTGCCTTTCCACAGACAAAATGGCAGTATACTTTTCTAATGACATCATGAATTCCACCTCAGTTGAAGTCTGATTTAATAATCTTTCAAAAGGACCTCGTTAGAGAATTTTTAATCCCAGTGTTATTATTGTTGGAATACCAGTGGGAATGAAAACACTTGTATCAGGATGTTATCAATGGTATCAAATACTGACCAACTAAAATGGTAAAAATGCATGCAAAGTGTTTCCACCTGTGGGAAATGATGTGTGGATCCCTCATCTGATTATTTATATTAAAACAAAGCATTGAAAAAAATCTCCTGACTAGAATTTTTGCTATTGAAAATACAGTTTTCCATTATTTTCAATGAACTGTATTATATCTTTTTAAACAAAAAAATATAAAAGGACTTGTGTATCTTATAGTTATGAATATATAATAAATTCCATTTTACCACCAAAACGGCAGTTTTTGCAGTAACTGTGAAATCTTTGCTCGGCATTGGACCACTTGGATCTTCATAGTTGGCTACCCTCCATAATAATCTTTTAAGAGATTATTATTATAAATTAATAAATTAGTATGTCGTAACAGATTCATTAACCATTGAAAAGTGTGGGGAATTTGTTCTCTACACCTGCAAAGTCCATTTTATGACACCTTTCCTGCCAAAGTGAAGAGTTGTCATCCCTTTATAAAAGACTTTTTTCAAATTATTATAAGCCAGATTTAACACTTTCGTTCTTGACTTTGTGAAAACAACCTGCTACTGAGCAACATAACATATACATGTATCCATGTTCAAAAACTGCAGTGCTGTGTTTGTGTAATTTCAAACAATTCACCTCAGTTTACCACTGATAATTATTCCCATTTTCCTCTCCATGTTTAAATCTTTTTTTTATTTATACTATTTTCCAGTCGCCTGGAGAGGAAACTGCTGTGTGAGAAGACTACAGCGCCATCTACTAACGGAAAATATTATCAAGACAATCGAGCTGACTTCTGTCATTTGAAATTCTGATTTCTGAGCCAGAGTGAGGACTTATCCATCAGGAATGTCATTTGAGGAAGAAGTTTTTATTTATTTGCTTATGTAGAGAAAAAAGGAACAATCGCCAAGCAGCTATTCAGCCAGTCAACTTACTGATGATATTGAATATTTGAAGTTTATCATTATGTCAGTGCCACCTGTGGTTTGTATTTTTCTGAATTTTCTCAAATGGTAAAATTTATTCCATATCATGGATTTCTAAAGTGGTGTGCAGAGCCTCACATTGTGTTAGATGAGTAGCAACACAATGTGGCAATTTTTATCTCAACCAGAAGCAATTGCATTGCTACCTTATCAAATGAAGTAATAGTATAAAGTGTTGCATGTGTAAAATATTGTTATGATACATGCTTTTTATCTCATTTGCTGTATTATTGTGATAAATGGGCATAGAATTACATATATATTGAGGTCATATTTGAGTTGTATAGATACTTTGTTCAGTAAAAGGCTAAAATTTTTAAAAAATGGCAGATGGTCTAATAATTTGAAAGTTTGTAGTGATTGCATTTAAGGTGGCTGAAAGACTTCAGCTGAATCTATAGCCAAGCAACACAAATATTTGTTAACACAGCAGAGATAGGTCAGGAAAAAGGAGTGATATGACGTGAAGTAAAGTAAATGTTTTCTTTGCATATGATCCAACAGTGCATATCATTTTGTCGTTGAAGAAACTCAATATTTTATTGATGTGCTTTATTACATGTACATGTGTTATGAAGTGAGTGAAACGCATTTTGCCTTCCTTTACCCTTTGATTAGGCAAATAACATTCACTATGTGTATTACATGCATTGTTTACAACTTAAGAATGCTGTTGCAAGCAGAAGTATAATAATTTTTCAAAGTAGGAAATGTAATCATTTTGAGCATATTGATCATAGTCTAGATATAAAATTTGTATATTGTGTTGGTGTGGTGACTGCATGGTGAAGACTTCACTTGTTTGATTGTAATGCATTTGTTTTGTAAACAGTGGATTCAGTACATGTTAGACAGCAGGCTTTACATTGTATTATCGCAAATTATGATACATTTCCTATTGTTAAGATACAATGTATTTATAAATATGATACATTTGATATTGTTAGGATACAATGTATTTGTATTGTATGGTCACTGGAGCTGTAATTTTGGTTGGAATGATACATTGTTAATGGTATTGTAATAACAATGTTACAATGTATTTTATATTGTACACCCACAGTGGCTGTAATGTGAAGATAATGCACTTGTGTGATAACAGTGAAACTATCGTGAGGTAGAAAGTTGGAGAAATGTTGCTAAAAGCATTGCTGTAGTTTTGATGTAGTTATGATTGACACGTCTTATATTATATAAATGTAATAGATTTGCATTTTGCTCCAGTTTTTGTATTTAAATCTTTATCCACTTACAGATGTATGATGGCTGTTTAAAAAAAAGAACATTGTCTAGCTGGAGGGCAGTTCAACAGGCAAACATACAAAGGGTATATTTGTTAAAGAAAAGAATAAATCTAATAAATTCTGTCAAATGTGTACTGTGTTAGCAAAGAGGGACCTGCCCGAAAAAGAGAATGTATTGCATCATTCTGATTGATAAGGATTGTACTGTGAAGAAAATTGCCATTTGGTGTCTTATTGTCAAGCTTTTGGAATTGAGAAAGATATTTCAGAATGTGATTCTATGCGTCATGCTTTATGATATTGATATTTTGTTTTATATGATACTGATGATATGCCAAACGTGATTTTGTTAGTTTTTATTATGTTCATCTATAACCTAAGAAATAGTATAGTCTTTCAGTTTCAAAGTATGTTAATCTCAAACTAGATCTTTGCTGGTATCCATGACAATGATATTTTCAATTGTTTTATGAACTGAGATTTGTTTTTGCCAGCGTAGCATTTATTTTTCAACGGGTGGACATCGAACTTATTTTGAAGAGGGTAACAGTGGATATTTAAGCTTATTTACAAATCATAACTGTCATCTTATACAACTTTTATAAAACTGGTATATTATATTTCTTTCATTTTTGAAGTATGAATCAACATTTTAACATTTCAATATTTTTTAAACATTGGAGCCAAAGCATTGAATTTCAATATTTTTGAAGTTTCAAGTGTCATTCACAGTTTGGGGTCAGATATTTATGAATAGAATGAAAGTTAAAGGTTGCATATGCAGGTAAAAGACAAAACTGAAAAAAAAGTAAAATTATACAACTTGGCAGTCTGTTGTAGATTTTAATGGCACTCTAAATTTATTTATTAAATGTTTTGTTTTAACTTATAGTTTTCAGAGTCAAGTGTAGTGACCATTTTGTTTGCAATTTATGCATATCGACATTTTTGTCAATTTCTTCTCTGCATAGTTGTGGTAGATTTTTGCCACTTTAAGCCAAACTTAAAGTATACTCTGTATCAAGTGAGTGGGAATGTATGGTCTTTTTACTGATATTATTATGTATTTCTCTTTACTCTCCATCTTCACTTCAGATTTGGTACATTTAATTGCCCTTTTGTTTTCTCTATAAGCCAAAGAAAAACAGAAGAGTATTTATCTTCTAGTCAGAATTAGTGCAGTTATAATACCTTTCTTAGCGTTACTTAGTTTTATCGCAATTTTTTCTAAAATGGGTCAAGATTAAATTGAAAGTGTTCTTGTTGAGGATTAGTGATGTCCAATAGAGTTATTTATTATAGAAGTTGAAATGTACGTAACTTGCTACAAGTTGATCATGACTGAAAAAAGGATCCTTTTTGAACGTTGAGAAGGGATTCGTTCGATAGGTATCTGATTATGTTGATAGAGGCACGAAATTACCCGAAGTTTGCCGAATGATTAAAGACCGTGCATACGTGGATTTTGTGTGCTTTCGTTTGTTTACAGTGGAATTTTCAAGGTGTACATTTAAGTTTGCTCTTCACTGTTATGTATTATACAATAAAATGAATGGTCTTTGAAGCGTGTTGTGTGCATCATTTTTGTCGTTGTTGTTATGAAGTTTTAAATGTCTTTTATGATACAGTAAGGCTGCAGTCATTACTGTACCATTAACTAGCTGCCACACATTTAGTTATAATGTAATTTTATACTCTAGAATCATGATGTGCTAGGATATTGCATTGTTAGGACCGGAGCAGCAAGAGAATGCTATCTGCTGGACTTACGTATCGACAGACGCTCCCATTTTAAAATGATTCAGTGTATGTTAAAACTAACAGGTCAAATCTATCGCAAACTGAATTTGGATTTTGTTCTGGAAAAGGCACCCAGAGCTTCAAAGATAACTTGACACTAACTTCTTCACTATGGTCAAGTAACTTGACACGATGAAGATGGGCTATAGTGAAGAGGTTAGTGTCAAGTAATCTCTGAAGCTCAGCGTGGGAAAAGGGGGTTTATAGGAAAAAGTTGAACACCTCATTTTTGCAGGGCATTAATTTTGTGAAAACGTAATGCTGGAATTATAATTTATCCTTAGAATTTATTTCTCAATCTCTGATTAAACTATTTCCTCTTTTACGTTAGTCAACTGCTTTATCACCATACAGTTTATCATGGAGATAAAACGATGTGCATGGATTTAGTACCTCTCTGTCCTAAAAATCTCGACAAAATCCCTGCGTAATGCCCCGCATAATATGCTACTGCAGCAGACAAACAGAGTTCATTAATAAAATGATTAATTAATCAATGGATCGCCATTAATTATCAACTAAGCGCTTGTTACTTGGTCACCTGCCGACAGTTTCTGAAAGTTTCACATTTAATTTGCAACACCCAATTAATTGATTTTCAGCTGAATGATTTTCAATAGTGAGCTACTTTAGTCTATCCTGAAAAACGTAGTTATACCCCAACACATTTAAAGGTATAATAACTCTTTGTATGAGATCTATATTTCACAATAAAAACGTTGTGAACAACTCATAGAAATATAATATATATTCTGTTTTACCACAAAAACGGCAGTTATAGCTATTATTCTGATATCTGAGCTTGTCTTCAGACCACATGACCTCCATAGATGGCTATACTCTGTTATAATCTCTTAAGAGATTATAACAAAAAACAAACTTTTTAGAAAAAAAACAGGGCCTAACTTTGAATGTAAAAATGGATTCATTACCCATTGGTAAGCTTGGGAAAATTGTTGTTTACTACAGGAAAATTCATTTTTTGGCCAAAACAAAGAGTTATTATCCTTTTAAGTATGCAATAGTTTACAACATTATATGGTGCCCTGGTTATCATTTTGAAAAGGATGTTTGAGGTTCACCTCTATTTTTTTTCTTTTTTACAGTGGACAAATAGGATCTGTATTTTAATTGCGTATGACGGTTAATTTCCGCATGCATTCGACATATTAACTGGGGCACATACCAGGTTACTTGAATTGTGCAAATCGACCGCAATCTAGTATTTTTAGGCCTTCGCACTGCTTATAGCGTCCTAGTGCCTGAACGGATACGAAAGCACATTACACACTACAAGGTGCAACGGAGGACCCATAGAGATTGTAAGGACGTGGATATTCAGAGGTATTTAAGCGCCAGGTTGGCGTTCATAGCGTTATGAAGCTTTACAAGCGGTAAGGGCACCGTATGTAGAGCCGAAAACCGAGAGGACTCTAAGACCCCATTCCCAGAGATTAGATCGATCCAAACTAGATCGACCTAACTCCCTGGGGGTTCACGCTAAATAGCTGTCAGCCGAGCGGGCACGAAAGTTAATTACCCCCTTACAGCTTGTAGTAGGCGGGCCGGACATTTAAGTAGGATTATCTGACAGTAATCTAGTGAGACTCCCCACGGGGATAGATCGATCTAAAATCTATGGGAATGCGCCCTAATTGTCGTGGTCTATGATACCGTTTATGCCATTTTCTGACCTGTCCTGCCGTTTGTCCTTAAGCTAATCGGTAGCATTATGCGAAAACTGAGGCAAGCGAATACAGGGTTAAGGCTCTAGGACGTAGGGCAAAAATTTAACTTCACCGTGACATTGTGGCGGGTTAAAATATCTACGGTATATCTTACATTCAATATTGAAAATTATTCATCGTTATATTTCTGATATTCCCTCTTAACATTAGCCTTTTTTTACCTGCAAGTATCAATCATGCTGTAATGAAAGACGTACTTAAATATTTAACGGAATATTAATAAGCTCACATGATTCATATAAATGTGAATGTTTTAACATTAAGAGTTTAGAGTAGCTATCTGCTCAATTACAGTAAAGAAAACTGTGGTCAAATGATCGACATCCGGCAACTGAATTACCAACGCGTAATTTGACGACACGAACTAATTTTACTCCTTTTGGGATTTTATCGTTTTTCCCTTGAAAGGCGGATGTCCTTAAGTGAATACACATATATATATATGTCGTGCAGTAACCACCAAACAAAACAACAAATGCGGACTCTGATCAGTTGAGAACGATTTTGTCTTGATGTGTTATGCGAATTTGATGAGTTAACAGAGAGAGAAACACACAGGTGAGCTTAACATGGAGGTGGTATTTTTGTACCTCCGCCAAGGAGATTTTGTTTTCACTTCTGCTTTTCTGCGTGTTTGTTATCGCCAAACTCAAACTTTGGAATGATTCTGTTGCTTTTACGGACAGATTTCTATTTTATTTTTAGATATAAGAGGTAGACAGCATTGCTATGATTTCAAGTATAATATTGGTTTTAATAGTCGTGCTTGCACGCCATCATGCAAACAGTGCGGCGCTGAACCAAACCGGTGAGTTTCTCCCACTATCTCTTTCTCTCTCTCTCTCTCCCTCTCTCTCTCGCTTTCTCAGACATACGCGCACGCACGTACACACTTTCCATATCTTTGTCTTTGTGTGAGGGAAAAAATCCAAAAAGCCTGTGAAATGACTACCAACAATGCATTGTCAACTCTTGTCAAAGTTTTCAATTGCGCCACGTGGCCTTTTGGTGCCCGCAATTTTTTGTTTGCTACCTTTGTGTTTTTCAGGAGATGGTGTTTATTTTTCCCGTAATATGATGATGCGATATACCTTGGAACACGTGCCTGACACACTTGACGAACGGATTGAGATTATGTTTTCGACTCAGACGAAACAAGGAATCCTGATGCAACTTCAGAACAGAGACAATACCAAATATCTCTCCATTGAGATAAACAATTATGGTAAGAATGGAAACATAAAACTAGAAGCGGAGCCTCTATTGTCCCTTAAAATGTACGTTTATTAGTTTATCAATGGCTCCCTATATAATGTGATTTCTCAAGCAAAAATGCTATTTAGGTCATGCCTTATGGGAGAAATGGATGAGCCCTGTCTTTACCTTTGGTAATAGTCATAACGACTTAAACGGTATGCCGACAACCGCGTGATAGTAACTAGCTGCATATTATCTCTTCACTTTTAACACTTTTTTCTTTCTTTTTTCTTTTCTTTTTTTAATTTACCGAAATAACACAACAATGAGATATTCATTACAATGGTACGGAGTGAGAACTAGACTAAAGAAACATCACCTTTTTGTTATGATGATTATATCGTAAGACCAGTTGTTTGTTTTGAACGACCAACATTATATAAACATTATATGCTGGCGGCATGCAGGCGGCATAACAGTTGCTTCAAAAGTCTGTTCTCCGACTAAATATTTAATAATGTATCGCCTGACTTTACTTATCACAGAACACCTATGGGCCTCTAAATCTACACACATGCATGGTTTTCATTCATTAAAAAAGTCTTTAGGTACTGGCCTGCGATGAGAAATCAAAATCTCATTCAAACTAATGTCGCCCGTCGTTTCAGGTGGAGTAAGAGTCTCATTGGGCTTTGGTTGGTTTGAAGAACAAAAATTCTCGCTTAATACAGACCATGGATATGACTATACTGATAACAACGAACACGTAGTTAAAGTTTGGCGAACTGACGATGGAAATGTATTTCATTTGCAGGTAAGACAACAAGGTAATGAGTCCTTCAGGGTAATTGCTCATTTCATAGATGGTTCCCCACCGTAATAATCTCTTAAGCGATTGTTATAAAAAACATAGTTTTAAAACAAACAGTTTATTAACTTTGAATCTCGAATTATATGGCACATTTCCAGCTGAGACGAAGTGTTTTATCCCTTAAATGCATTTGTAATGAATTACTTAACACTTACAGGTTGATAAAGAGTCGATGGTATTCTCGTTTGAGTCGCTACCCTCTATCGTGGGTTTAAGAATTAAACCCAAGTACATATTCGTTGGACGTAACTGTAAGTATTTACTGTGATTCATAGGCATTTGTATTATTTCCTTGCCTGAGACTTTGTTTTTTATATAGGTAACACTAATGGGCTTGATTTGGTCTTAAAGTGCAATTTAAGATCACAGATTGTCTTACATGATCTTAAACCATGAGTAAGACCATTTCTGCTCTGACAGCCAATTAAGTTGTCTCCCCTTACACATTCTCCTACTGTGAGCAGAGGTGTCCTCTATTGTGAGGGGAGGTATCCCCCATTGTGAGGGGAGAAAACTGCTTGACCGCTTAAGTAGATGTTAGATCATTTTTGAACTTAAAAGCAGATTCAGACCATTTTAAGACTACTGCTGTAATGATTAAAATCACCAGTGTTCTTAAATTGCACTTAATGACCAAATCCAGCCCACCAGTGTAAACTGACAGCGAAAGTATCAGTATGGATTTAATAATTAACTTATACAGAATAGACAATGAATATGAGATTTTCTTATCAAAACATTTCTCTTTCTTTTTTAAGTAATAAATAAAAGTCTAAGACATGTTTTGGATTCTTTGAAAATTTATTCGGCATTACTGTGAAACAAATTCTTTAGCAAAATTAACTAATAGACTCAAATATATGGCTGATTTTAAGTCATTCTACGATAAATTGCACACATTGTTTAGATCTCTACATTTTTCAAATTTGTAAACTATATTAAGCGACAATTAATATTACAGAAACAATAATTTAATATACTGTATTATGAAATATTGAAATTGATCTGCATTTTATTTTATACTTATACTTACCTTAATACTTGGCTCCCCATCAAAAGATAACCACTGTTGAGCATGAATAATATCAAAGATATATTGTATAATGACGGTCAGTGATCTTTTTTAAAATTCAGTTACCACCAGCCCAGGCAGTGGGTTCGAGGGTTGCATCGGTCACATGCAGTTTAATGACATCTTCCCACTGAGGGAAGCGTTGACAGGTTTAAACCCTGAACGAATAATGTTTTTCTCTGGTTCAAGTAAGTAATAAAACGTCAGCTAATGCTGTATAACGAGGAACCTTTCGAGTTATACGGAATTGTAATCCTCACATACACTGCATAGTCGTATGCTGTATTAAAGTGTAATATATTTGATTTTTTTTAAAAATAACATTCAAAGAACCGACAGTCACTATTTCTGTAAACACTATTACCTTTTGTGAATAAAACGTAAAAGTAACAATGGTTTTAAATTAAAGATATATGATTACATTGATCTGTTAATGCAATCAAGTACATGCAATGCTTTACATCAAAAAACAAGTTGATTGCCATTCATTTTAGGCTCTTCAGAGAATATTGAAATATGTGGAACGGAACCGGAACCCGTACCCAGTTCAGAACCAGAGTCCAGACCAGAACCCGTACCCAGTTCAGAACCAGAGTCCAGACCAGAACCCGTACCCAGTTCAGAACCAGAGCCCAGGCCAGAACCCGTACCCAGTTCAGAACCAGAGCCCGGACCAGAACCCGTACCCAGTTCAGAACCAAAACAAAGCACTGCACTCTACTTTACAGCCCCGACTCCACTGCTTACTACAAATACCCAGTCCATCAAAAAAGAACAAACCCCAGACGACTTTTTCACTCGACTGTTAGCATGGCTCTTCTCTCTTTTGAGACGACGGGGTTGATATAATGGCGTTTTTGTAAAGCTTTACTTACATTTTGGAATATGGTCTAGTTTTAACTTGTAAAAAAAGTCAATACAAAATAATCTAAAACAAGCTTATCTTGTACCCATCATACACACCAGAAAAGACCAGAATTAATTATTTGATCGTTTTTATGAACTCGGAATAAACCTTTATTCGGGTGGTTACTGTTATCATTTTAAAGAAGTTGCTACATCATCCGGTATATACTTTTATAAAAGCAATATTAGTCAGAAAGAAAGAGTAAAGAAAACATTTAATCAAAATATGTGCACATTCCATACCATCTCGTCCTAGAATTTGGCACAATTTCGAAGTTTTTTAGGAAATGTCAGGTAGTGTGATAGTGAATCCACGTACAATGTACAGGCGAATTTCTTAGCACAAAATATCATGAATTGTACATGTAGCACAGGAAATAAAAGAGATATATTGAAACAATTATCATGTATGTTCAGTAAAAAGAATTATTGTGTCTGTAGTCATTTATGTCAGAGGAAATTTTAATATGTATACTGTAATTCAGTTCATAGTGCCGTCTTGTAGTGCTACAACCGTTCTTCCATACGTGATATTACCAGACGTAACATTCAACCATATGGTGACTGATACCCCTTTGAAATGTGACATGTAGTTCTCAGGATAAGGACCCTTGTCTCAAGTATTGAATTGTTTTGAAAATATGTTTATAAATAGTCTTCCCTCGGCATACATCTAAGGACCTGCTATTACGTATTGTGTACCGCTGTTTTGTTGGTAATACTGCCACCGGCATAACTTCAATTTGATTGGCACCGAGAGCAATTATGGAAATGCTACGTCAGGTAAGTAACAGTTAATATAGCAAAGAAAAGAGGATCCTACCTCAGTTTGTTCAACTCCACACGTATGATAATGAAGACAATTCTGATCTTCTGTCTCGTTTTACTGAACATACAAGTCTTAGTTCAGGCTGGTAAACCGAAGACTGCAGATGACTATATGAACATGTGTGTTACCTTGCCAGTTGAAGGGGCCAGCAAGACAGTTCCATCACCTGAACCAGATTTGGAGGTGCGAGTTTGTGTACATTTATGTATGTATGTATGTATGTATAGTATGTTTATTTATGCGCGCATGGGTGTGTGTGTGTGTGTGTGTGTGTGAGAGAGAGAGAGAGAGAGAGAGAGTATATAGGAATGAGAAAATAAGTCAAAACGCGTACGCGTATGTGTTTTTGTGATAAAGAGAGAGATGTTTTGCTGACATTCGTTTAGTGGAATAGATAACGTGCATGGTGACGTGCAATAGTGACAATACGGTGCATGTAGATCTATAAATATAAGATGGTCATCTATTTATAAGAAATCCACAAGAGACTGAGAATAGTAGAAAATTATTTCTTGTAGGCGTGCCATACCTGTTGCTAAGGTGAACATTGAAAAATTCCTAAAATAGCTTTTAACACGTTTGTTATGTATCTTCGATTCTCTAGAGGACATTGATATTGTTTTATTTTTAATTAAAATTAACATTTCTCTGCCTAATGTCAGTCTCCTTCAGACTGGCTTAAATGTTAGGAGACCTTCATCTAAAACTGACTAGTTATTTGTATGTGAGATTAAATGTCACAGAGGTACAGCATGTGCTCTGTAAGCGGTTAATGGTTATTTTTAAACATAACGACAGGACCCTAGTCACCACTTCAGCAGTAAACTAGACAAAAGCCTCCAAAGTAGTGTGAAAGTAACGCTCTGTCATTAAATGCAGCAGTATTTTATGTCATTCACACATGCTTCATCAGCACAGGAGAGATCTGTGATGACATTTATATAAAATTCACTCTAAATTACTATAAATTTAAGCAATTTCCGTATTTTAACGTAGATGAACCAAAGAGTGGAGATGGTAATATCCGCCGTACATACGAGGTGACCGAGCCAAATTATATTACCCACTCCTATTGTACACTGTTTTTAATGTGAATGATTCATAATTGTTATAGCAAAATCTCACATGATCATAAAAAATGTATTGGATGCTAATTTCCTCCTACATTGTCAATATTCCAGAAACACGGCTTAATAATAAATGACATGCACAATCCATGAACCTCTTCTGTGAATTATAATTGATACATGCGCATTGAAGTTTGTGACAAAACGGGCACGGCACACGTATCTAGTGGAATCCTCCGAATTTCCTGACGAATGTTTGCTTTCACAGTCTCTGTTGTTTGTTGTTTGTGGTTGCAGACATTTTTCAAAAATCACAAATGAAGTAATCTGTGGGGAAAATATGTATGGTGTATGCTGGTCAGGTATTGCTCTTTTGATGAAAAATAAGGCTCCATCTCCATGCAAATATCGCTGGGGAAACTCTAACGAAATATGTGAGGGAATGCGGGAAAAATAAATACTAAAACGACAATATACAATAAAAACGAGCAACATATTTGGTCCAACCTGTTATCTATCGTACAAATATTCCAGAACTGTATCTTATGAAACACTGTGGATGTGAAGGGCTGGTAATGCTACGCAAAATACAAACACTGAAAGACTCACACGTTTGCCAATTTTATTGAAAAGACTAACGGTAAAAAAGGCTTGCCAGTAGAATAATTGATCAAAGACTAAAGCAGCAATGCTGGTGCTTTGAACTGTTTTATAACATCAGTTCCAGACCTGATCGTCCTTGGTAATCATCCTTTGTTCAAACATCATAGACTACATCATCAAAAGGCTTTCCTCCGTTAGTAACTTACCGAAGCTGACTGACTGAGTTGAGTTAGAAGTCTCACAGGCAGCTAGGTTCTCATGTGGGCATTGAGACCAGCTTGGGATTTGCAGAAAAGCTGACATCTGTTGCATTAGAAATTTCTGGATCTAGCTGCTGAATGTCGACGGTCATGTGCACGTTGATATTCATGCTGGTGTTGGTCTTCAATGCTGACAAGGTCTTTTAAGACATTGCTCTCTGGAGAGCCTCTTCCTCCCAGGTATCTTGCGGGGTACCTGTCCTCTCCGTGTGCTGCTTTATGACATCCTTGCAACGTAGAGTCTGTCCAGCATGGCTCCTTTTACCTTGGTTTAGTTCAGAGAAGAGTACAGCTTTTGGCAGCCTGTCATTAGCCATCCGACGGACATGCACTGCCCAAAGAGGCGGTGACACGGTTATAAGGGTTTCAGCATTGACTGTGTGGGCACGTCGTAGAACTTCAACGTCAGGAACATGGTCTTGCCACTCCACTTGAATTTGAGGATGGCGCATCAGGTCAGAGCCTCTATGTGTCTGCGGTAAAGGGCGATGCATTCAGTGGAATAGAGGAGGCAAGGAATGCCTACTGCTGTGTAAACTTTCACTTTAGTATCCGTGGTGATGTCATGGCAAGTCCAGAGTCTCCTTTGTAGTGCACTCAAAGCTTTTGTAGCAGACTGGATCCTCCTTTCTACTTCCAGATCTGCTGATACTAGATAACTCATATTACTTAACTGCAACTGATCTTGCCAAGTCGAGGTGAATACATGAAGTCCATTTCATCCTAAGTGTTCTTTTTTTTCTTTTTTTTTCTATAGTGTCCCAGTTTCCGAGAAAAGTCTTGCTGCAACACGAACGTAACTGCAGATTTCCTGGAGACCCATGTGTGGGAGTCAGTGATAAATTTCGACCACTGTCCAGGGAAACCACGCCTGTCACCGGAGTGTGCGAGACTAATGCACCAAGAAATGTGCTTCTATGCCTGTTCTCCAAATCTCGGCCCGTGGATTGTCAAGGCAGTACGTACATGTAATGATGTCTGCTGGACCGTCTGTGTTTCCCTGCTCTCTCTCTCTCTCTCTCTCTCTCTCTCTGTATGTGTGTGTGTGTGGGGGGGGGGGGGGGGGGGGGGGGGGGGTTTGTTAGGCGGGGAGGAAAAAAATAGGTATTTTGAATTAAGCGG